CCCCCAAATTGAGGTTGGGTTTTCGCTTTGTTCCATTCTTCGGCTCGGATGAACTTATCCGAGACATTCAGAGCTTCCTCCAAGGTCTGCGGGGTATGCATGACCATGAAGTCTAGGAACTTTCCAGGCTGAAGGCCATTCTGCATTGCAAAAACGGCTAGCCCCTGGTCCAGCTGAGAGACGCTGGATGACTCGTTACTGAAACGGGTCAGATAGTCTCGGAGGCTTTCGGTTTCCCCCTGTTGTAGACTCATGAGCTCTGCAGTAGTCTTCTCTCGGCGGTTTTCCGTGGAAAACTTGCTCCTGAACTTGGAGGACAGATCATCCCACCCTGTTATGGAGCCTTGCCTTACTCCCTTGGAGATCCACGCTTGCGCGACCCCCTTGAGAGTGGTTGGGAAATATTTGCACCAAGTCGCCTCGGATCTGGGGCAAAGATGCATATGAGTCTCATACGAGGCCACGTGATCCTTCGGATCCGAGGTCCCGTCATATGTGATGTGCGACGGTATTTTAACCGTGGGTACGCGCTCTTCCAGTATCCATTGCTCGAATGGTGAACTGGCGGGTAGCATAACGGCCTTGCCCTTGTTCTTGGCCGAAGGGACCGCGCTCCGCCCTCTTAGAGAGGTAGGAGTGGTTTTCGTCCCTGGCTGGGAAGTCTGGGCCTCGGCTGCAGGGAACGAGAGGCGACTGCGCACGCTCGGTTCCTTGCCGCCGAGTCGGTCAAGGACGCTTCGGCGAGCAGTCTCAGGTTCTCGGTGAGTAGATTCTGGCCGAGAAGCTGAGCTGCTGCTCTTATGCGCTTCTGGTCTTGAGGAGGAGGATCCTTTTAAAAATTGAGGGTTCTTTTTCCTCTCTTTTTCATTTTTCCAGGAATCCTCTTCCCACTCTTCCAGTTCCCGGAAGGAAGGAAGCTTCCCACCATCATGGTCTAACTTCCTCCGCTGATGCCGGGTATGCGGAGGAGTTCGATCACGAGGTGGTGGCATATTTTGTGCCCTCATCGCCTCCATGAGCACTGCCAGCGCTCTTGCCACCTCTTCCGAGCTGGGCCCCGTCAAAGGGATCCTCGGCCGAGTATGGGAATGAGGGCGCGCAGCCGATGGTTGGCTTTGGGGCACCGAATGTGTCCTATGATCGGACTCACCCCTGCTAGACCGAGAGTGACTCGGCCTATAATGAGAGTCATGAATTACGGGAGAAAGGGAATCCTCCTTGTATGATCCTCCCCCCGAGCCGGCACCCTTGGGAGAGTCCCGGTCCGGCGAGGGTGATGGTGTAGGGGTTTTAGGCTTTTCGCCCGCTCCTTGACGGAGGCTTTTGCTCTTGCGGTTCTTAGCCATTGCTACTAAGATAATTGCAAGATGATCTTGGTTAGAAATTTGGCTTAAAGATTTTTGAAAGTCTTCCCCACAGACGGCGCCAAATTGTTTCGGGTGAAAACAATGGGACCTTGCCGAAGGTCCGCTGAAACGGAGAAGACTAGATTCCGTCCACGTTATGTTGGGCCGAAGGTTTCCTGCACAGTAAACACACGTAAACTAGCCTCGGGGGTGTTGCCGAGGAAGGCCCCTCCGATGCTAAAGTCAGTACAATGTGTAGAAAGAGAACACTATGCAAGAGAATTAGTTGCTTGAGGCTTTGCTTGAATATATGAGAATATATGAGAATGTATGTGAATGTGAATCAATGAATGAATCATGAATGTATGAATATTGATGGCTTTTATACCTCTTCATACATGGAGAGGTTGGGCCTTAACCCAATTGGCTTGCTTTGAGGGCTGACCTTTGACTTTAGCACAATTGGAGAGTTGAACCTTGACCTTGGGCTTTTAATTGGATCATTTAGTGCCTAGGCCCAATTGGACTAAATTGGACCCAAACAACCTCTAAATTTTTTCCGTTAATAACGTGTAATTTTTCAGAAAATTTAATTAAGTTTTTATCTCGTTCTTTTAATTATATCTTTATGTTCTTTGGTAATGCATGTTTTTTGTCAAATACAAACATATTCTTTATTAAATACATGTATGTTCTTTATGAAACACAGGATGTTCTTTCCGCCTTTTTTTATTTATCCGGGTGTATGATGAGCACTGTACACCCGTGTGTATAAACCACGGATTAACTCAACAAGCTCTTTCAATTTTAACTTTGATCAGCCCCTGTTCTTTCCGAACTTGACTCATTTAATCATGAGCCGGGGTTTCAAGTTCACAAACCACTTAAACTTTTGGTGGTATCTTGTGTTATGGATTCTGCAGCATGCTCCAAATGTCACCTCTTTTGATTATTGGGTAAGTACTAATTTAAGTATCCTGTCTTATGAAAGGTTATGTTGCTGATAGTATAATTTGTGACTTACATGTTATTTTTCTTGAATTTCAGTGCAGAGATTGTATCGACGAAGAGTATGACATACACCTACCTATACTTCCAACTTCTGTGACCAAGAATTATCTGATACCAACCCTGAAAGTTGTTACCATTCACTTGTTTGATGGGGCGAAATCTGATACTTTATTGATTGAATATCTGTTAAAAAACGCGCCTCTCTTGCAGGCACTCAGAATCACTTTGAGAAGTCCGGTTAGTGCACGAGCAACGGATGCTATTACAGGGCTATCCAAAGTTTCCAGGGCCTAAACTTGCTTCCGTGTCAAATGTAGACAACCAACATTTTTGCTATCCCAACTTGTACGTGCCAAGATCATAATTAAAAAACTGAAAGATAAGCTTACTGTCAAATGTAGGCAACAAATTAAACTTTTGTGCTAGCTACTGAAATGCTTAATTTTATTTTATACTACACAGGTAAATGATCTAAAAGAGGCTTCAGGATTATACTTTTACTAAAATAATCGTGTTGTATTGAACATGTTATCAGGATTTGCTTCAGCTGTTATTCTTCCCCCCTCGAACTCGTGTCTATAACTTTTACGGAGTAGTTTGTGCTACAAATCTTTCATCATTGAACGAATGAACTCTGACCATGTATTCATGTAAAACTAGAATGTTTTTGCTCGGCCCTTCAGTTTGGTTGCACTAAATTAGAATCTTTGATCCTTCTGTTGTATATGATGAGTGACAGTCCCATTAAGCCTAAGCATATTAAATGAAAGAATAAATTGCTAGTAAACTTGTAAGAGGGATCTGGCTACAAGTGTTCGTCTTGTTTATTTTTACATGCTTGTTTCATTTTTAAATACTTGCAATGAACAGAGGAAGTAACTTTTGACTATATTGCAATTTAAGGAATAGATTAAAGAAAGTAATCAAAGCTAGATTCCTATTTAATCAACAAACTTGTGTAATCATATAAACTTAAACACTGGAATCTTGCTACAAGTGGTTTAATTATTTGGTTTTTGTTTGGTTATCTATCATGGTTTTAGCCTCTAGTATCTTGAGTTTTTATATGCCCTCTATTTCATTCATCTTTTTTTTTTTTTTTTTTTTTTTTGAAGCCATCTATTTCATTCATCTTATTATGTTTGGAATTGTTATTATAGAACATTTTTTATTATTTAAACTTGTTTTATTCGAACGGAAATATGCGTTACGTTCTTTTTTATCTTCACATTTACTAGGATAAACTTATAAAATTTTGACCATATTTTGTGATTATCATTGTCTTTTTTTTTTTTTTTTTTTAAACATCATTATTATCATTTTTGATATTTTTTTTTCGAAACAAGATTAGCAGGATATTGTTAGATGTGTTATAATTTAATTTGTATTTTCATAATATCAAATCTTCATAAATTTTTAATTTTATTAAACGATCACACAAAACACAAATATGTTTAAAAAATTATTTTTTTAAAAGGAAAGAATATTTTTTTATTTTTTAAAAAAAAGAAGTCTAGCACCGCTTTTTATTAATCATTGGACAGATTGTCCACATGAGAACGCAAGGAGAAATTATAAAAGGGCAAAAATTCTCCCACACCTGTTCAACACCTTACGAGAAAGTTCAAGAAAGGAGTATTTTATCTATTGTACCGGTGGAAATGTTATTTTCTCATGTTTGATATTCAGCTTGTACATAATATTGCCATGGGCCAAAAGCTATTACCCTTAAAATGAATTTTTTTTTTACGGGACCCTTAAAATGAAATTGGACCTTCTCTTTTCCATGTGAAACAAATTTTTGGTGGGAAATTATTAATTTATTTTTAAATTTCAAATGAAATTTTAATACTAGTATCAAACTCTCCATCCTTATCTCTCGGTTTCTTAAAGCGCCATTATCATTTGTCAGTCTCAAATTCTTCCAATTCGTCAGTTCGTCATCTACTACTGCACAATTAAAGGTACTGCAATTCAAATTGTTATAAATAGTTCTGCTTTTTAATTTTCAGTTTCAATTTCAATTTCAATTGCAATTAACTTTCTCATTTATTGATTTGGAATGCGAAAAACCTAGGTTAGTTCTGATTCAATAATTCATACTGCTGCGAATTCTATGCTTTAGAATCTCGTAATTTATGCATTGCACTATGAATTGGCAGTTGATCGATGATCAATGTTTATCACCTATGCCCAAATCTACACATTTCATTGGATTTGCTGCATATTGCATTGTTAATTTCATACTTAAATTGTTACTTAGGTTTTCATATATGTTATTAATCTTAAATTTTAAATATAGTTTCAATTTTACCTACCACTTCAGACCAGAAAGTTGTGAACAAGGGATTGTGAAGTGTACTTTTATTTTTATGTTTACTGGACTGCTTATCGCTTATGTAGTGATGTAGTGATCGAGTTAATTTTGGAGTGTTCGTCATACTCCATAATTTTTCGTGTATTGATGGAAGTAAAATTGAATCAGTAAGAATGAATGATACTCGAATTGTGCATATTGATGCACGAAAAGAAAACGAGCAATTATGTGTTCTGTTTTGTTTTGGACATCGAATAGCTCCTCGTAACCACAATTTCTAAAGACTCTTACTCCGTTTCACAATTTTGCAGGTGTTTTAATGGAAGTAAAATTGAATCAGTAAGAATGAATGATACTCGAATTGTGCATATTGATGCACGAAAAGAAATCGAGCAATTATATGTTGCAAACTTGCAGTTCTGCGTTACTGTTCTGTTTTGGACATCGAATAGCTCCTCGTAACCACAATTTCTAAAGACTAATACTCCGTTTCACAATTTCATGTTTATGCAGAGACATGATTCAGTCTAAGCATCAGTCACCTTCGAAGCTAGATGCAGTTGTCGACTCTGAATCTTTAGATCGGATCAGTGGATTACCTGACAAACTCCTGTGTCATATCTTGGCATTTCTGCCAACAAGAAGTGCTGTAGCTACTACTGTATTATCCAAGAGATGGAATCTTGTTTGGATAAATGTTCCAGTCCTCGATTTCACTGAGCTGCCATCTCCAATGATAAACTCGGACAAGGCAGACATTATCTTCAACAAAGAGCAGTATATTAGTTTTAAAGACTATGTGAACAGGATTTTACTCCTTAACGGTGCCCCGTGTATAGAACGTGTCCACTTTGAGATCTATGAGGGGTTTGCTCGTTCACACTTAAAGGAATGGATATTAGTTTTAGCTAGGCGCTATGTTCAGGAGTTTTTTCTTACTTCTAAACATCTCGTGGTTGAGTTAAGTTCATCCTTTTTACTTGCTAAAGAGAAGCTTGTTGTCTTAAATCTAGAAGGCTACATTGAGCTCTCCTTACCGTCTTCAGTTCATCTTCCCTGCCTTCAGTACCTTTCTCTTACGAACATCATGTTTGTAGATGAGCATGATCCTTTGACTAGCATCTTATCCGGTTGTCCCGTCCTTGAAACGCTGAATATTGATCGTTGTAAGGGACCTGAAAAGTTTTCAGTGTCATCTTCTTCAGTTAAAACACTAAGAATTTTATCAGTGAATCACAAAAAAGAAGCAATCCTCATTAAAGCACCAAATCTGGAAGTCCTTCACCTATCGATTGGGATCAAGCAATCTGTGATGGATGATCTACCATCGCTGGTTGAAGCAAGACTTGATATTTGGACTTCAAGTGTCAGATGGATTAAGCTTCTACAGAGAATTTGTAACACAAAGACTTTGGTTCTATATCGGATCATTCTAGATGTAAGTGCTTTTTATTAAGTGTATTGTTTGGATTCATATATTCTTGTATATATTCTGATGCAGGGTAATTTCAGGAGTCCTAGGTAATTTCTGCCTGCATGCTTAGATCAGGATTAGTGTCCGACTCTTTTGATCATTGAATAAAGATTGTTAGTTGCTACGAAAACAAGGCCAATAACATAATATTCTCTGCTTTTATGTATTTGCAATTTTTGCCTCTAATTCTCATTTCATAAAATGGCCTGAAACATTTGGAGAAACTTCTAATATTATAGGCTTGAGTTTGCAGGGATCTAGTGCTCTTATCAAGATGCCGACTTTCCAAAATCTGACATGCTTGGAAGTAGGACTTACTGCCTGGTCGATTGTGCTACAAATCCTTAGACATGCTCCTAATCTTGCATCGTTCATTATACACAAGGTCTATTAGCTGACCTCATACTAATCCTCTGCATTGCATGCTTATGATTTATTTGCTGAATTAGTAATTTCTGATAATATTTCTTCATTTTCTAAATTGATTATTCTTGATAGTTGAAATGGCTGTTATGTTGTTGTTGGCAGTTGATGTTTGATTGGCCTGATATCAAGCCAGAAAGAAAGGGGCTACGCCTTGAACGAATTGAATATTATAGCTTTGATGTGGATGAAGGTTTTAAAGTGGTAACATATTTCTTACGCAGCAGCATGCTACTCAAGGAGTTCAAAATCTATACAAGGAAATCACTAGATTCAGTGACAGAGAATGACATTCTAAAAGTGCTGTTGAAGGTCCCTAGGGCCTCAAATCAATGTGAAATCACTGTTGTCAATGAAGACTTTAACTGTCAGTCCGAGGACAGCGACATTGAATTGGAGTCAGACAGCGAATCAGAGTACGCAGACTCAAGGTAAAGGATTTACAGATATAATTGACTCTTTATTTCCTTCTACTTTGATCTTCATAAATTTATAATAATGTACTAGTACTACCATATGACAATGCCATCTAATCTCTTGAAATTCCAGTTCTGATGATTAAGGTAGCCAATGAGGATTCATACATTTGACATTTATGCATTGTCACAACTCACAAGGGTATAAAACTTCAGCTGACCGATGAAAGCTGCTGAATTTGCAAATTTTAATCAGTATTTGAAGACAGTCCTTTCCAGAAGTTCATTAGGTGTTCACCTAATTTTTAACCAGCAAGAGTTTTCTTTCTGAAAATTCGGGATTCTGCCTTCCTGTTGCATAGGAACTGAAGATCACTGCTGTATGCTGACTGGTAGTGTCTGTCAAAACATTAGTAATAATGTAACATGGTTTTACTCTTGTCTGGTTTTACTCTTCTTTTCTGCATTTGTAATATGTCAGTTTAGAGTTTATTAATTATTCAAATTGGTAATAATATCGCGTCCCAAATGGTGCCACAACATAAGACAATTTCTTTGACATGAATTTTCTAGAATGATATTCCTGACACTTGCATAATCTTTTACTCGTAGCCATTGATCTTAATTTAAGACTTTAAGATGCAATCAACAGGAGTATCGACCATTCAATCTATCAAATACCATAAAATGAATTTTATGTTTGTTTTCCGTACCAGAAAATTTGTATTCAATACAGTCAATTCTTCAATTAATACATATACACCAGTGACAGTCAGAATGCATATTAAGCTTTTCCAATGTCTGGTTCATTGAACTTTACCCCAGAATTCCTATCAAATACTCTCTTCAAATGGTTCAAAGTACTGCAATTTCCAATGCTTTCATTTACCAAGAACGATGAATCCAGTCACATAGTCGCACTTACAAATTGTCGTCATTGGCAAGTCTGGGTTAGTTTATAAAGAAACAGTGACGACTGACGAGTAACTGGAACGGTAATTTGAAATATTCTGTCTATCCTCAGCATCATTATGCCAACCTCCATGTAATAGTGGAGCTTTGGAGATTAAGAATATCAACCACCATACTAATACAGGTACTTCATTTTTGTATGAATACGTATTTCTTTGAAATATTTTTGTATGTGAAGATTGCCATGCTTATGTAAATGTTAATCTGAATATTTCATCATCCGAGAATTTGTCTACTTATCATACCACTTTATAGAAGTATATTCTTTGGTGTAATCTGTTTTTTTTTTTTTTTCCTTTTTTTCTTATTACCCTGATGTCTCATTATTGTTTTGAAGATCTAGTGTGTTATTGTAAATGTCGTATGTATAATTTTTTCATCATTTACAAATTAAACTTCCTCTGTTCTTTGTTAGTTGCAATGTTTTTTGAAATTTTCCTTATTTTGTGAATTGTTCATGGGTTTTATCATGGTTATACTGACGATTCTGGTACAATTATAAGGCTAATAATGTGATTGTTTCACTAACCGTGTGTTCTTGCATCAAAGTGTTTAGTGCAGACATGGCGCTTGAGCCAAAGCGCAATAAACTATTGAACCCAGCAGCAGTAGATCGGATCAGTAAATTACCTAGAAAACTTCTCTGTCGAATTTTGGCATTTCTCCCAACAAGATGTGCTGTAGCTACTAGCATATTATCAAAGAAATGGAAGTATGTTTGGACAGAGATTCCTGTCCTCGATTTCACTGATCTACCATCTTCTATGATTAGTACAGAGACTGTCTTCAACCGAGAGCAGTATGTTAGTTTCAGAAACTTTATAAACAGGATCCTTCTCCTTAATCGTACCCCTTGTTTAGAACGCGTCAATTTGGAGTCCTTAAGGGGTTTTCCTATGTTCATTTTCATGAATGGATTACCATTATATCTACTCTCTTTGTGCAAGAGCTTTGTCTTACTAATAAGCATTTCTCGATCACTATGTCCTTAGCCCATTTTGCGAATATAGAAAAGCTTGTTGTCTTAAACCTAGAAGGCTTTGCTCTCACTTTGCCAAGTTCACTCAATCTTGCCTGCCTTCAGCGCCTTTCTCTTATCAAAGTCACATTTCTAAAAGAGGGTGACCCTTTAACTAGCCTCTTATCTAGTTGTCCTGTGCTTGATGAGCTGATAATTGATCACTGCAAGGGGATTGAATTTTTTTTCCGTGTGTTCCTCTTCAGTCAAGACACTAAGTATTTCTGCAGTTGATTATAAGAAGAAAGCAATCACTCTCAAAACACCAACCCTAGAAGTCCTTCACCTATCAATTGATATCATGCAGTCTTTAGTGACTGATCTATCATCTCTGGTTGAAGTTAGGCTAAATATTTGGACTTCAAGTGTTAGATGGATTAACTTTCTTCAGAAATTCTGTTACACACAGACCCTTGTCCTCTACCAGATTATCCTAGATGTAAGTGTTGTCAGATGGATCAACAATTATTTAGACAATCTCTTTGGTGTGTATTCATTATGGTTGTAAGTTCTTTACAACGAAGTTTTATCCTCGACTTTTTTATAAGTATGTATCATTGCCTTTTATTTTCAGGGTTCAATTGCTCTCTATAAGATTCCAATTTTTGAGAATTTAACACACTTGGAAGTTGGATTTACTGCTTGGTCAACTGTACTGCAAATTCTAAGACGTGCTCCAAATCTTGCATCTTTTACCATATACAAGGTATAATATGTAGCTTCTTGTTCTACACTCGTCATAGACAAATAATTATTTGTTCTTTTTATATTGATTCTTGAATGATACTCTGACCATGTTATATATGTTGTTGGCAGCTGATGTTTGATTGGCCTGATATCAAACTAGAAATAAAAGGATTGCCCCTTAATAAGATCGAATATCATGGATTTGATGTGGATGAAGGATTTAAAGTCATAAAATATTTCTTAGGCAACAGCATGCTGCTTAAGGAGCTTTAAATTTATACGCGCAGATCACTAGATCCAGTGACAGAGGTTGACATTCTGAAAACGCTGTTAATGATTCCTAGGGCTTCAAATCAATGTGAAATCACTGTTGTCAATGAAGACTATTACTGTCAGTCTGAGGACAGTGACACTGAATTGGAGTCAGACAGCGAATCAGAGTACGCAGACTCAAGGTAAAGGATTTACAGATTTAATGGACTCTTTTTTTCCTTCTGCTTTGATCTTCATAAATATATAATAATGTACTAGTACTACCATATGACAATGCCAACTAATTTCTTGAAATTACAGTTCTGATGATTAAGGTAGCCAATGAGGATTCATACATTTGACATTTATGCATTGTCACAACTCACAAGGGTGTAAAACTTCAGCTGACCGATGAAAGCTGCTGAATTTGCAAATTTTAATCAGTATTTGAAGACAGTCCTTTCCAGAAGTTCATTAGGTGTTCACCTAATTTTTAACCAGCAAGAGTTTCCTTTCTGAAAATTCGGGAATCTGCCTTCCTGTTGCATAGAAACTGAAGATCACTGCTGTATGCTGACTGGTGGTGTCTGTCAAAACATTAGTAATAATGTAACATGGTTTTACTCTTGTCTGGTTTTACTCTTCTTCTCTGCGTTTGAAATATGTCAGCTAATAGTTTATTAATTATTCAAATTGGTAATTATATCTGAAAGGATCAAAGGCTCAAACTCACTTGCTATCAACCCACAACAACAATGAACAAGCAAGCATAACAATCAAGAACAACCATGAAGAAATTAGAGCAAGTAAAAGGGAGACAATGTTACCGTGGGAAAACCCGAGAATCGAGAGAAAATGAACAAGCAAGCATAACAATCAAGAACAACCATGAAGAAATTAAAGCAAGTTAAAGGGAGACAATGTTACTGTGGGAAAACCCGAGAATCGGGAGAAAAAAAACTCACCCTTGCACTATGGAGTAATATTGATGATGAATGAAATATAAAATTACAAACATGAATTGTATGGAATTCAAATGCTCCTCACAAACTCTCTCAAACCCTCTCTTAGTGTTTAAATGTTTGTGAATACATCATAAAGAGGCTTAGTAAAGGTATATATTGTCTAGGTATAAAATACAATTCAAGGGCTATGATTAAAACAAATCGCACAAGCTGAAAATGAAGCGACGAACAGGGGGCAGGGGAGGTTCGACCGAACCTACCCAGAGTTCGGTTGAACCTTGGGTGGTTCGGTCGAACTCCCTAGATGTTCGGTCGCTCCTTTGTTGGAAGGTGAACTGAAGTCCATGTCGCTACTGCCTCAAAACCGGGTTCGGTTGAACCCAAGCAAGTTCGGCCGAACTTTTCACAAGTTTGACCGAACTCCTCCTTGTTCGAACGAACTCACAACCAAAGGCAGCTCCTAGCTTCTCTCCTTATGCCTCCTTGCATAGATACATCTCTACACTAATCCTAACAATCTCCCACTTGGAGATAGGATCAATCATGCACCATAGACTACTACATATACACTCATTCCTCGAGGACACTCAACACATTCATCAAAACTATTTTCACCATAGCGCAACACTCCTTCAAATTAATGATGGAGTCCAATTGAGGTCCTATACAACCTCAATTTGTCACTAGAAACAACTTTAGTGAGCATATCCGCCGGATTCTTGGAACCGGCAATCATCCTCAAACATATCGTGCCATCCTACGCCAACTCCTAGTGTAGTGATAACGCCTCTTGATGTGTTTAGTGCGATAATGAAACATGAGATTCTTAGCTAATTGAACCGCACTTTGGCTATCACTATACAACGCACAAACATCTTGTTTCATGCCCATTTCCTCAAGGAAACCCTTCAACCATTCCATCTCCTTTCCCGCTTCTGACGACATAGCCACATACTCGGCTTCCATCGTAGACATAGAGACACACTTTTGAAGCTTGCTCATCCAAATAATGGCCGTACCACCAATAGTATACACATATCCCGAAATGCTTTTTCTTGAATCATATCATCATCCAAAATAGGCATCAACAAAACCTTCCAAAACAACTCCATTTCTTCCAAAACAAAGATCCATACTTGAAGTACCCAACAAATAACTCAATAGCCACTTCATGGCTTCCCAATGTCTTTCACCCGAATTTGACATGAATCTACTCACAACTCCCACTGCGTAGGCAATATCGAGCCTAGTGCAAATCATAGCATACATCATGCTACCAACGGCCGAAGCATAAGGAACAACGGCCATTTTGCCCTTCTCTTCCCTTGCCTTTGGGCAATCCTCCTAAATCAACCTGAACTCACTTGAAAGAGGTGAGCTTCGAGGCCTTGCATCAATCATGATAAATCAACATATCATCAAGTCATTGACAATTTGCGTACTAGTTTCTGCAATCAACATATCATCAACATACAAAAGTAAATAGATATAGCCATTGTCATACCTTTGAAAGTAGCAACAATGGTCACCTTCCACTCTTACAAAACCATTGCTAGCATGAAATTGTCAAACTTCTTGTACCATTGTCTCGGAGCTTGTTTCAACCCATATCATATAGACTCCGTTTAAGTTTGCACACCAAGTTCTCTTGACCCGGAACTTGAAACCCTTCCGGTTGCTTCATGTAGATTTCCTCCTCCAAATCACCATGTAAAAACACGTTTTTTTACATCCATTTGCTCAAGAAATAAATCCTCTGAAACCACTATAACTAACAAGATCCTTATAGTGGTTAACTTCACAACCGGAGCAAAGATCTCATGATAATCAATGCCCTCCTTTTGTGAAAAATCTTTTACCACAAGTCTTGCCTTATACCGAATTGTACCATCCGGTCTTCTTTCTTTCGAAAGATCCACTTGCAAAAACGTGCTCTCTTGCCCTTGGGCAACTCAACCAACACCCAAGTGTTGTTCTTCTCCAATAATAAGTCAGGTAGAGCTAAAATATGCTTGGCAAAGTCGTACAACGACACGTCATTCCTTACAATGACACGACTTCCTCCTCCTCTCAATGACACGTCATCTTTGATTATTTCTCGTAAGTTCAACCTTTAATTTTATAAGAATTTCTTTATTGCCTTCCTTAATCTCTTCAAATCTCTAACTCCTCATCTATTCATTGCCTTTCAAAATGGTTACTCTTTTAGATATACGATCAACAATAATATTTGAAAATATTATTCAAGGGACTGTAGCAAAGATATGAAAGTATAACGTAATAGATATCAATAGTTACAACGTACAAACTACAAAGTAAACTTTTATGGTTGTGTTTGATAATTGCAAAATCTGTAAGCCTGAAATTTGCTGAAGAAGCTCAAGAATTCCAGCTCCAGACTTGTCACCTTTCACTTGTTTGCTAGCATATATTGCAGATTTGTGAGAGTGAGGGACAGCTCAATTGGTAAGAGCTTTCCTCCCGGTTCCAGGTGATCCTGGGATCGATTCTCATCCCCGCCCTCATATGAACCAAAAAAAATATATTGCAGCTTTGTTCAATGACTTAGTATCCTTAAATTTACAGACTGAGCTCCGATTACATGTTATCATGGTGTTGTTTGATTGAATTAACGATATTAAGCTCGAAAAAAGGGGCTGTCTAATGAGGGATGATTATATTCAATTATCAATGAAGATAACTGCGATTCTGAGAATAGTGACGGGCATATCAGAGAGGTTCAAACAGATTATTTGACAGACTTAAATACCCTAATTCGTGGTTTATACACACGGGTGTACAGTGCTCATCATACACCCGGATAAATAAAAAAAAGGCGGAAAGAACATCTTGTGTTTCATAAAGAACATACATGTATTTGATAAAGAACATGTTTGTATTTGACAAAAACATGCATTACCAAAGAACATAAAGATATAATAAAAAGAACGAGATTAAAACTTAATTAAATTTTCTGAAAAATTACACATTATTAACGGAAAAAATTTAGAGGTGATAAAAAATCTAGTAGGGCCGGGCCATATCATAATTTATCGTGCCCAAACCCGTAGAAAAGTAGCGGGTTTTCGGGCTTTTTTCTAACCCGGTTTGAGTTTTAACTAAAAATGTATTTTTAGGTTTGCCCAATCCCACCCTATTTCGGGCCGGATCGGGTCGGGATGCGAGTCATGCCAATGTTGATCACCTCTTAAAAAATCCTTACCAAAGATATCATTTCCCCAAAAAATAGTTTTCTATCTCTCCAAAAAAAATTCAACTTTCCATAATAATTTATTTTTTTTACTCTAATATTATTTTCAATTAAAAATAATTTAAGATTTCAATATCAAATTTCAAAATACCATATGTTAAAAGAACATAATTTATATTGTAAAGTACATATAGTTAATACCTAAATAACACACTAATCAAACTTAAAGAATATACGATAATAAAAGTAATTTAAATATGACATATGATAATAAAAGTAGAATTTGGGCATCACTACGACCTTAAAGAACATACACGCCAAATTCAAAGAACATACTTTGTATTATTAAACCCAAAAAAACATATATGTTTATCGACATATGTTAAATAACATAAGTTATAATGTAAAGAACATATAATTTTACTCAAAGAACACACTGATCACACTCAAAGAACATATTAAAGGTATGTTCTTTGTCAAACATTGGTATGTTCTTTATCAAACACTACATGTTCTTTCCGCCTTTTTTTGTTTACCCGGGTGCACTATGAGCATGGTGCACCCGGGTGTATTATCTAATTTTCAAAATACCCTGGCTAACTTGTTTCAAAAAAAAAAAAAAAAAAAAAAAAAAAAAAAAAAAAAAAAAAAACCCTTGGCTAACGATTGTTCATTAGCATTTTAAATTCAAATACAAGCACAAAACTTAACTAATTTGTTCATTATCTTCACTAATTTACTGCATCATACTGAACATGATATTACGGAATTTGATTTCAGCTGTTTTCCTTTTTTGTTGGCTGCCCTTGCATATATATATAGATTAAGACATCAGACAAGTTATGACTTATGAAGCAAAAATTAAACATACTGCCATACTCGCGAGTGTTTAATCCCATGCTAAAGGAATACATGCTTTGTTTGGGAAGGGTTCTGAAAAGAGAAAGCAGCAAAAAATCACAATAACCACGCATAAATTGATCTTGTGTTATGTCTGGTTGAAAGTTTGAATCAAATACGAAGCAATTAACCAGAGATTGCCGTCTACTTGAAACTTGAAACGCGTAATAAAGAGGGTAATGAAGACTTAAAACTGAGTTTTCCCTGGGATGCATATAGTGAATTCACACATGCTCGAGACCCTTGGAACCTTGAATAGCCTTAGCAAGGCGCTCATTTCATCCTCTGCATCTCGATGAACTGTGTGGATCTTCATCACCCTCAACCTTCCCGCTGTTCTCAAGAAATATTCTCCCATAGTCACTTGTCCTTCAGCCCCACAAAAGTCGTAAAATTTGATAACCTTCAGAGTACTTGATAAACAATTAGGTGTTGAATATGGGTATGGGTTCCAGTACTCCGTCCAATCATCCTGCAAAATCCATACTACATTCAAGCAAATGGAAAATAGACAAATATTCTGACACGAAACTTGAAGAGACGAAACTCACAGAGTAAATGTGTCTGTGCACGATCAAAGATGTTAGATTTGGAGTATGATCGAGTATATGTAGAACAAAGGACAATGTACCGTCTGCTAGCTCTAAACAGGTCAAGTTGTGAAACACTGGCAACTGGTGAGGGTACACGTTTGCAAGAGCCTGCTGCAAAGCCGATAACAGATCATATCAGATGTCAATTCTAACAAAACACATAATTTAGTACACACGACGACTTACATAAATTGTTGCTATGGACAATAGCAAAGTCTTTAAGCCTGAAATATGGCAGAGAAGCTCAAGCATTCCACAATTTTGTTTGCAAACATTAATCTTAGCTTCAATCAATGAGGAAACATCCTTGATGTCATAGAATGAAAAGTTATCAGAAAGAGATAGGTATTCGAGATTAGGTGCTTCGATGACTATATCCTGTATTTCTGTTGTTAGCTTAAAATACATGATTTTTAGCACCCTCAAAGAAGCTGAATGAATGTTTAGGATCTTCATTACTGACCAATTACGAAGTGCAAGTTCTCTAAGACGAGGGAAGACCGAAGGTATATCCAATAGACTATCCTCAAGTATGACCCCCGAAAGGTGGAGGATCTCAAGGTTTGGAAGCTTAAAATACAGAGCACTAACAGGAAGAATAAATTTTCCAGTTAACTTCAAAACCCTGAGTTTCTCACTCACAAACAGCCCTTCAGCGAGCTTAGTCTCTCTGTCGATAGAACAAAGACCAACCTCCAACACATTGCGTCTCAACATAGACCAAATCCATGAATGAACATGAAAATCTTCGACTGCGCCAACATTACTCAAGCGAAAGAGTTTTAGCTCAGGTGCATCATTAAGGACCAAGGCCTTGTACACAAAAGTTATGAAAGATGACTTGTTTGATGAATCTACGAGAGCAAAATCGAGGACAGGGACTTTTGTCCAAACATATCTCCATCTCTTGGACAATACACTGGTTCTAACAGACGCATCTGTATGTAGAAAAGAGAGAATAATACAAAGAAGTGTATCTGAGAGTGCACTAATCCTATCTTCCCCTTCAATCTGCACCATAGTTTCTTAGAATCAGGCACAATAATATTTCTTGACACAATTATATATGGCTATAGCCTAGTAACCGAAACATTGATGATTTAGAATGCTCTTCATTTCCAATAATCCGATTGTTTGACTTCATGATTTAGTGCATCTACATAAAGTATGCCTAGGAAATAATGTTATCAACTGAAATCTTGAAAGCCCACCTCATTTATGGTTGCTAATCTGCTGCTATACCCAAAAAACGCTTAGTATTCCCCCAAAAAAATATAGCCCTTACCAGTGGAGATTAGATGTGGCTACATAAGCCCAAGTGAATAATGAATGGTTTGATTATCTTTGGTGACTCCCGGGCTCACGGCCTGCTAGATACAAGTTGTGTAGTGATTTTTAGAACAACAGCTATTTGTTGCAAGTAAAGCAATAAAAGTTCATCTGGATGTGATTGTAATGTAATCAAGAATTGTCAAGATGTGGAGATGAACCATCGTCCTAAAAGACGAGTAAGATTGGCATGGCTTTCTTAATTGTGAGCACTCACAGTTGACGGATGGAAGTCATAATTATTGCCTAGAGATTAATTATTTTTGAGTGAACAACTATTTTTCGTTGGTATTTGTTGAGTAATGGTTTCGATTTTTATAGGCTTAGCAAGGAGATGAACTTGGTTCAAGATCACATTAAAGGAACAAATCAAGGAATCAAATTGATTTCGGAAAAAAAGGAAGGTGTCAAATTGTCAATCAAGACAGTAATTGATTTGTAACGACTAGGTGATCTCGCTAATATCAGCAAGTTAAATATTACAGTATGTATTTAAATGAGAGAACAAAAAGATAGATCCTACAAAAGAACACAAACTCACCAAACAAAGGCCTTAATCTATCTCTTCCCACCTCACCACCCTCTTTTGAGACAACCCACCATGATCACCACTCTTACCCATCCATACCCACCACTGTATGAACAAGATACCATCTTAACTTATGACAACTCGTAAACAAAGGGTGTAACAGAGGGTAAGAACAAGATACCAACCACTGTATGACAACTCGTAAACAACTAGACGATTCATAGCATTCCGATGATAACAACTCATAAACAGGTGAAGTTCTACAACCATCTTAACTTAAAAGGTACTTCAGACTTGCAGTCTCATGCAATAGATACAAGTCATCTCTACAATAGATACAAGACTAAGTTGCAACGATAGACATTAACATATCGGATGCCAGCTGAAACAGCTACTTAATTAAGTATTAGAGGGACAACGATAATAACTAAGGAATTAAGCTGAATAAGGTTTTTTTTTACTCATTAGTGAAATGGAAGCAACCTACTGTTGATGCAATGCCGCAATATATGCATCTTCTTTCACCACACTAATCAACCAGTGCACGGTTAACACTCCATATGAACAGCAGAAGCAGACCCCGTAGTGGAAGCCTGGCCAGGATACAATAACAAAATTAGGGATCAATATAGTTCAAATTCCACTTGTATTGACTGATGAAGAAAAGATATCAACAAGATGTTGAAAGAGGTAAGTTTTAAGGCCCTTGCTTAATGCCAGTTACTGGGATTTAGAATTCATAACTCTTAAAAATAAAGACCTTTAATCAAACAGTACCAAACACTTAAGGAATAGTTCTTCCCATCTCTGCCACCACCAAAATATATAGTGCATGATTTGCAAGAGTTTATCCCTATTAATCAGATATGAATTCAACATCGGTGAAGCATCCATTCCTTTACCATCCCCTCTTTTAATTCCTAAATCAGGCTGGAAAATAAGGTATAAGAATACAAATCTGATTCCATGATTTACAGACAAACCTGAATACCGCGCATAGCCATCTCATGCAAGGTCTTGATTTCAGCAGTTTGCTCCATCTGACTGAGTAATAATATTCTGTGTAGATATAAAAAAAAATCACCTGAAAACAAACAGATTTTAAAACACAATGAACTGGTGTAATGGACACTTTTCTCTATGCACCTCTGATGGAAACTGTTATATATATATATATATATATATATATATATATATATATATATATATAGGGTTGAGATCCGGTGAGAAGTATCCATAACGTGAAAAGCGTGAGAAATTCAAATACATTGGTAATACATTGAGGATACATTGATAATACACTGTAGATACATTAAAAATATGTTGCGGATACATTAAAATCCAGTGACACAAAATTATGATTAGCATTGTTAAAATTAATACTTTGTCACGCACACTATGTATTAAATTATATTATGCATAAAAAAAAGGTATTAAATTATAGTATACATTTAAATCTAGTGGAGGTAAAATGGGTGAGATAAAATTATAATATTACGCATAAAATATAAAAAAAAATAAGGTATTAAATTATAGTATACATTTAAATCTAGTGGAGGTAAAATGGGTGAGATAAAATTATCAGTAGTATTACTTAAGTTAATACTAAATCATGCACTCACGCACAAAGCCATCTAAACCATTACTGCCCAAATCATAATTTTAGCAACCACCTAAGTAAATTTAGGTACATAAGATAGTATAATTTGAGCTATGTTCTATTTTTTAAAAGTTACAGGTGCTCTGTTTTCATAGTGCTTAAGTTGAGTGATTCTTGTCAAATAAAATTACAAGAAATTGTACTCAGAACTTTATCTTCACAATGGGATGACATAAAGTAAACAAATTTAGAGACAAGTCTTGAAAAGTCAATTTAAAGAGTACAATATTTCGTTTAGCAATAGGATAGTCATAGTGTTAAAACAGGGGTTAAGTTGCCGATTTGTTAACAGCTCTAGATACATTAAAAGAACATAATAGATACATCCAAAGTAGAATACAAATACATTGAAATCACCTTATAGATACATTAGTTTCTTTTCCTATAAAAATGGACCTAGATAAATCAATTGCGTTTTTTTCTCCCAAAAACAATTGAATGAATATGAATTATAAATTCTCCATGTTTAAAATTTTATCCTTCATAATGGTAAAAACATCATTCAAAATTTCCATTAGAACCCGGCCTCACGAAAACCAATTTGTCAGAATAGGAAGTAGTACGTGGTTGTGGAGGCCAAAGAGCGATCAAGTGAGGTGGCAAGGACTTTGTTTTCCAGGTGGTCAAAGTAGAAAGGGTTGAAGTAGTATAGGGGCAATTTGATTGTCGTTGGTTATTAGTGGGATATTAAGAGCAGTTTTTGTTCTTACATGTGCAATGAAAGTTGGTGAAAACCGATAATTCCATTAATGATGTGGGTTGAATAGCAGCCATTGGATTTTCTAGATCTAAGGGTTGTAATTGCTTCTCACACTTCTCACCATAAGAACACTTCTCACATGATCCCAAATATATATATATATATATATATATATATATATATATATATATATATATATATATATATATATATATATATATAAACCAACTCGATTCAAGCCTAGATCCTAACTGGCCCTAACATTTACACATCCAATATAAAATCCGTACTCCTAAGTTGCAAGGAAGCTAAAAAAGAAGTATATTCAAGTACTGACTAATCTTAAACTATTGAAATTGAGCATTAAATAGACCATCAAAGTTTAAAATGAGCCATCAAGCTTAGAGCACATGACTCAAGAAGAAAGGATAAACATACATTTCCTGTTTTCCAAACCATCAAACTATTTAGTCCCATGTATAAGCCACTCCCTCAGGCCTCAAGAAGAAATTCGAGAAGGCAGCTGCATATTATCATGTACATCTATCCCTGCAGTCTTACCTTTATTTACTTTTATTTATGAATATCCCCCAGATTTTCTGTGTTAAACTTGGATATATTTAATAATAAATTTCTTCCTACAATAAGAATGGGAGGTAAAATCGCAATTAAAAAGAATACTGCAGAAGTTCTGATTTATGAAACTACACCTTACAGAAAATAATTATTCAAAGGAGCTTTAGGTGTGCAAATATTCACTATGACAATCTTGGTGGGAAGGAGTGATTACTGTAAAAGCAAACTGCGAGGAGTGGACAGGCAGAATGTCAAAACTGGTTTAGCTTCACCTATAAGGGCTATAACTGGAGAAGAAACAAAATACACAATACACTATAAATCATAATTTTTTTATAATTTGCTACAGACAAAACTTAAGGTGCACACGTTTGACAAAACAACATAAGATACTTTAAAGAACATATGAGCTGAGGTAATGGTAGCGCAAGCCTAGAAGCATAGTGTTCGATAATATTAATATAAAGCATCCTTGCCATCATAAGACCCAATTTCAGGCTCATATAGTACATTGCTGTGATGTTCCATCAGTTGCAACTCAAAACCCCTGGACTAGTTAATTTGTAAAGAAAACTGCCACAACACCATTAAATAACAAGTTCTTATTGCACCTTTGACTCCTTACAAGCGTTACAAATCTTACAATCTCCATTCTAGATATGAGTATAGAATATTCTATGGAGTACTCACATTCTAGAAGAGGAAACCATACAATCTCTTCATTGCAAATTATTCGACCACTTAACTAACTTTTTTCATCTCACATAATTTTTCTTGTTATATTATCGATCTATTATTATTTGTTCATTCAAAATATCAATGCACTATTACTTGTCTGTTTCGAATACCAATGCATTAACTAACTTTTTCCTAAAGTGCATTCATAACATTTAAAGACCTAAGTAATACTTTCACAACAATTAAATCATAAAAAATATAAATAAATAATTCAAAAAAAATCTTAAATTTCAAATTGAGAATAGAGTTTGATGTAATAGCTATTTTGAAAATTTACTAAAGTAGACTTTGAAACTTTTGTTGCTAAAGATAGGTGCAAATGTGCAAGACAACAAAAGTAAGGTCAAAGACAAATTTTCAGAACATGTTAGTCGATGTATAAGTAGTTAAACTAACAAGTAATACATTGATATTTTAAACAAATAAATGATAATATATCAATATTTTGTATCACAAATGATATGAAATGAGAAAAGTTAATTAAGTGGTCAAATAATATAAATAGAGTAAAGAGGCGTATTTTAAGTTTCAAATTCTATGCTAATTGGAAGTTTAGCGAGACATGTTTATTAGGTATTTGTTTGATTTGACTAAAATAAAAGATTAGAAAAAAAAAATCAATTAGTAGAATTTCATAGGAAGTGAGAGAATGCAAAGTTGTTTGGTTGGAGAAACATAGGAGGTTCTACTTTCCATAAAAAGAAAGTTGTTGCTTAACTGGGTCTCCCTAGGTAAGTAAAACTTTCCATAGAAAATCTTCTTCCAATTATCAAACAAACAAGAGTTCATGCTTCCTATAAAATTAAAGTACATGGGAGATACAGCTTCCAAGGCATCTTAGGAAATATATATTTTATAATTAACCAAAGAACTACTTAAACGCACCCTAGGAAGTGGGTACCACATCCAATGGATTCAACAAGTTCATCATGCTATGATAGTAGAATGAATAAAGAAACTGAATGGAGTATATTAACTAAGAAAAGAGTTATAGAAAATAGGGTGCTAGAATAACAAACAAAAAAACTTAAATGAAAAGAAGTTTACCATTGCGATCAACGTCAGCTTGTTTTGAAAATCACAGGCTAAAGGTAACCACATGAACACGCACCAAAACCTTCATATCACATTATAATTGGTGGAGGAGTGATGGATTGATCCTCCAGAAGCTGACACAATAATCCAAGGACTGTTCAGTTAAATTGCCCATCAAAAACAGAACTAAAAGCAAATCTTTCAAGTGCCAAAACAATCGAAAAGTTGTCAACGTTAATGTCACAATGCGTTTAAAAACAGAAGTGTAGATGCAAAATAGATAAATAGCAGCAATTGTAAAGGGAAATAGTGGAATCACCGAATCAGGTTTTAATTGGGTGAAAATATATAGGTTCGTCTCAAAATCAAGTTAGCTATTCTAATTGGACAAATATTTTAATTTTTGAAGTACTTGTCCTTAAAAACCAAATATTAATTGCACAGATACTACAGAAATACTCAGATACTACACAATCATAACAAAACAAATGCAAACGACCCACATAACCTCTCAACCTATACAGTGAAGCTTTCAAGGATTTGGCGTGTCCTTACATCACTATACCAGAAATTGTGCAAACATCATGTTTAGCTACATCAACTTCTACAGTAGCTACATGGTTGTCCTGTATGCCAACACTTGATGTAACATTTAGTGAGTTCTCTACACTTGGCATGCCATTTGTAATCAAATTTTACTCTTGAATTTAAGTATTAAGACATGTAAAACCTAACATTGGGCATACTCCTTTTTTTTTTTTTTTTCTTTTTACAAAATCGACTCTGTTGATGTTGACATAAGGTTCAACTTACTTGGTGATAAGGACTGTAAACATTCTTTTATAAAGTAATGTTTCCACAAGTAACAGTTTGAAAGACCTGCTTTATAGTATACGAGCTGTAAAAAGATCAACCAGTTGATATCCGACATAAAACACAGACGTAGCTATCTCTAAGGGAAAAAAAAGAAAAAAAAAAAAAACAGTACATGCTAATCTCGTATACTGGGGTAGAAATATTGCAAGTTCCCAACACCTAGAATTAGTTTGCATATACAAGTTTTCAGATTTGAGAAGCATTTAGAGTAGATAAAACTAACCAAGTGACATATTACATCACACATTCAAATCTGTGTGTCTTCCCTGAATCCCTCCAAAACCAGGTACTGAAGTGCTATAGAGTATCTAGCACTCCTTTTTCCTATGCTCTTTCCTTGCACATGCACACTATGTTTAAGAAGAAATGAGCCAGATCCATCACCTTCACCTTTGACCAAAAACAAGAATTATTACATCAAACTCATTCACTGCATTTCTCTCTCTCTCTATCTCCCGGCCTAAAATTCAATGAACCCACCTACCTTGGACTGTGAAAATAGACGAAATCCATCTTTTGTAGATAAATTGTCTAGGAAAGTCTCCATGATACGTATCAGAGAGCAAAAGCTGGCAAGCTGTTGTTTTACTGGTGACAGAATTCCAAAAACAGAGGGACTAATGTCATATAGGTGGTAAATCAGTACTTGCAAAGGCAAGCAAAGGAATTTGCAAATAAATTTATTTAGTTGTAAAAGGACTCTTAAAACTCACCTGGCATGGATGATTGCACTATGACAAAGGGCTAAAACTCGGACCATGGCTAAGTCCCTTCCACGAGGATTATTATACTTCATTTGACACTTGCTTTATCCAGTATAAAGGAAATTTTAGTATTATGCAATTCATGAATAACATGTAATTTTCATCAGGCAGCCAAAGTTAAGGCATCGTAAGGCCATTCTTTCTAAAATGTGTAATCAAATGAAGGATGCAAGCTCTGACTTTCAACAAGAGTAAATTAAGTTAGAGAAAGAGAGAGGGAGAAAATTATACCTTTCAAGAAAGAAGTCACCAAAATCATCAATAATAACAGCAATGGGCAAAGGATGAAGATGATGGAAGGCAGCAAAAAATTTCTTGATGCCTTCATCATCATAATCATCTATATACCTGGGAACAGGGAACCGCAAAAGCCACAGACTTTAAAAATTAAAAAAGAAAATTATGGAAAAAGAAATGCAAGTCAACCAATGCAAAACTATCATTAGTAATTGAAGCAGTAGTAACTAACTTGATATGAATTCGCTGAAAGATATGTGAAGAAGCATCAACTCCCTGGAATTGGATAGACACTTTTACTACTCCGTAATCAATTATATAAATCAGCAAGTCAGCATGTGTAGGAGAACAGGGGTTTGAGGGGAAGAGAAGAGACCTGAGAGAGGAAAGGAGGTTTGGTTTCAAAATGGCGACGATTGCAGATAAAGACAATGTATCCCTGTGACGTGGACTGACAGTGAGCTGCCATGTTCAAAGCAAACTGAAATAGAAGTGATGTCTTCCCACCGACAAAAAAAAAAACATTTTTCTTAAAATTTGTTGACTTCTAGATACATACTTAGGAACTTGCATTACTTAAGACTAAGAGAATGAGTACCAGGATGGAGGGCCAGTGAGCAGCGTAATTGGATCAGATGTAGAGCAACAGCCTTCTTGAGGTTGTACAGCAACAGTGGTAACAGAGTTGGTGCTACCGCCATCAAAGAATCGCTCTACCATATTTCTTTCACAAAACCAACTTGCAGTAGCTCACTCCACTTACTGGGGAATCTTCACTCTCTTTTTCTTCTCTATTGTCTTTAAGTAAGACTAAGACAGCATTCTACATTCGACCAAAAACAAGATTAATAGTAAGTTCAAGTCAGCCTATGAGCCAAATTATGAGAAAACGCACTATAGACAAATTGATGCTAAACTTGATCATCCACCTATATGTCCCAAAACCTGAGATAATACATCACGACCCATATATATTGCTAATCTTGGTCATCAACCAATGAGCCAACCAATAGTAACCATGCAGCACTGTTTAATTCATGCCATACAATAAAAAACAAAAGTAATCAGAAATTTCAAAGTCTGCCAAGAAAAGAAAAAAGATCGTACGAGTAATCATTAATTTCTAAACATCTCTTTTATTACTAATCAACAACAAAATAAGTAAATCCTACGCCAAAAGGCCTTGCTTCTAATTTAAAGAGACTCTTAACAGATCACTTAAGATAACTCAATATCTTACCAACAAGTTCAACAAAAATCAATAATCTATTGCATCCTCACCCCAAACTGACTCATTCTTGTAATTTCCTTAGAATTGAAAACAATACACAAGTACATTTTCACATCTAAAATGAAATTAAACTTTCAGAATAATCTCAAGTCAAGGATTGTCAAAAATTTACTCCTAAAGTCCTAAATCCAATAGATAAAACTTGAGGGGTATCTAGAGTTCTAGACCATCAATCATATACAATCATATCAAATATTTTTATAAACAACATATGCATTCTTTTTAGAAAAAGAACCAACTTTAGCAATCACACTATACAATTGAAAAAGAAGAAAAAACAAAACTCAAAACATATACAGCACTTCACCAAAATATATAAAAAGGGGATATCAACAAGGGACTGGTAATAATGGATTAACAAAGTGATTAATTAGACTCGTGGACAGCTACATTGATGATCTTATTATTAGACTAACCCACAGAACATTTAAAAATAGGTCACCAAACTGAACCAAATAAGTAAACATATCATCAAGGATAAACTTTATACACTGTCCAATAGTTCAATGACTTCAATCTATAACTACTCACCTCAATGCTGTAGTAGCTTAATTAGTTCCAAAAGCAGCAGCTTCCCCTTTTTTCATTATAAAAATTGCATTCAAATTTAATCCCAATTCTTTGCTTAACAATAAGTCCATAACTTTTAATGAGTTTGGACGAAAACAGAACAGAACTTATAATCTCAGTAAAGCACAGGCAATTACTTGTCCATACATTAATTCTATAGGAGCGAATTATACAATTCTTGCTACATCCACTAAGATCTTCATCTTCAAGGTTTCACCATTAAGCCATTAATATCGATTATCGAAACCTCGCTCTTCATTCTTTACTCACTATACTAGCACTTGGAATAGACTATATTTGCTAGAATGTTAAAAATTGATAAGTAATTCAAAAATCTCTTCATCTCAAATTCTCAATCTCCAAAACTCCTATTATCCTATAACCCTCCCATTGCTCGAAGCATTCAAATTAGGCTCAATCATCAAAATTAGGCTCCATAAATAACATAAAATTCTTCTCGCTTAAGAATATCAACAAAATTGCTCGTTATAATCTTTCATAACTTCAGTAATTATAACCAATAGTTCAATAATCCACATTAGATGAATCCTAAATTGACTATACTGGCAATTAAACTAACGATAAACCCTAGACTATGAAATTAATTGATATTCGACGAAATAAAATAAAAAATAAAAAGATCGTACCTCAGAAGCTGCTTCAGTGGAGGGGAGAGAAAGCTCAGAAGCCGCTTCAGTGGAGGTGAGAGAGGGGAAGAGTGTACAGTGCCGTGCAGTGCAAAGTGAAAAGGTTCCAAAAAGAGAAAAGGGAAAATTAAGTAGGAAAATAGATGACACGTGTATGTACAGATGTAAACATTGACTTGATCCGATAATTTTACCCGAAATTGAGTTGGAATGAATTGGTTTGACCCGTAAACCGTAGATCCAAACCCTTCATTTAACCAACCATTTTAGAGTAATCGAAACTATAAACCGGATCCAAACCCTTCATTTAACCCCTTCACTCTAACTCTTGAATTGTTAAAGGGAGAGAAGTAATACGAATTACGGAGTACAAAAAGTAGTAAACTCAATGAAATATAATGGCTACCCAACTATTGTAGTTGGGTAAAAAGTAGTAAACTCTTACGAAAGTAAAAGGCGTTTAAATTTGCAATATGTAATGCTAAGGGCTATATATAAGTATTAAATGCACTCTTGAAAATTGTATAATATTAGAAATTCATGACAAAAACACGCGCAAATTAGTGTAATTAATGTTTATATTATTATGATTCCCTAAATTTATACGATTTTCTAGTGTAAATTTAATGCTTATATGTAGCCCTAACGACTATGTATAGCATTTTCCTTAATAAGAAATACAGGGGAAAAAAAAATGTATTCCACACAAAACAAAGCCTTGTCACATTATCACCTAAATTTGATTTTATAACTCTTCTCCCCTGGCTCCTTGCACTGGCTTGCAGCCTTGCTCTCATTTATTAATGTGGTACAAGTTCTTTTGTAAACTAAGTTGATTGTTGATTTAAGAACATTTTTTTAAAAAATTATTAATCCCTATGTAAACTATTGTGTTCTTTACTTATCAATGGACATTGCCAAGACAATAATTAAATCTTTACATAGTCAATCATACAATATTAGTTTAATTTATATTTCCTTCGTTCTCTTTTAAATACAATACTTTGACTTTTACACTATTTATAATTTCATATACTTTACATTGACTAGCTTTGTTGATTTATGGTTAAGAAAAAATATAATCATGTGGAATCTTGTTAAATCCGTCTTGCTTTTATAGTTTATTAATAATATCAAAATTTTAAATTTTTTCCATATTAGTAATAAAAGATATTTATTATTGAAATAACACATTAGTAAGCTTGAAATGAGAAGTCGTATTGCATTTAAAAGAAATCAGAGGAAGTACCATAAAATTACGCTTTTGAATATTGCTTTGTTTAAACTTGTTTTAACCGATGACAAATTGATAACAATGACCATTCTTAGCTTGTTTACTAGCTATGAAAATAATAACTATTTATCCTTTTTTTTAATTAAAACTTGGGATAATTTCAACTGAATGACCCATACATATTATAATTAGCCTATGAGGATCAATTCATCAAATTGCCAATAATAATTGAAAATACAATAAAAAAAATTAACACCAAATTACCTTGAGTAGTGTTCACTGCCACTAATTTGCTCAACACTTTTCTAGAGAGCAGCTAACAACATTAGTATGCTTAAATATATTTTACAACAATGAGCTCCAAGCCTCCAACACAATAATCAACTAATTTTGATAATAACACTCCCTTCATTTGGAAAACCTTAATCTCTACATAATCCAATATACATAACAGTACATCAACTCCATATTACAAATTTGCAGTACTACACTACTACTATGTATCTTCGGGCCAAGCTAAGGTCACTGACTCGTAGCAAGCTATGTCGCAGACCGGTGGTGCCAACGTGCTTTACCTCAATGAACTGGATGCTCCAATTCAGCCTATAATACAGTACTTGAATACTTTCTTAAACAAAAGCCAAATCTTTCTAAGCTAAGAAATTTAAGTCAAGACCTTAAAGAAGCTTGATCATAATCTTCACTCAACAACTATGGGGTTATCACTTGTACCGTCATTTCCTAGTAAAATAGAAGGAAAGTCACCTCGAAGAACTTGAACCTTGAGCTTCAAAGCCTCATCACTAAGTGTCATGAGTTCAAAAATACAAACATCTCCAACCTTGAGCTTGTTGTCAACAGCAAATTCTTTCCACGAGCTTAATTCAAATCTTTTATGGGTTGGATGTCTGCCGAAATAAGTTGTTTCCCAACTCTTTTTGCCACGAGTGAGGGTAACTGGGGCTGTTTTATGGGGCAATATATGAGTAATTTCTGCAGGAATTGTCTGAAGTCATCAATCAATCAGAAATTATAGTCAGCGACTCAGTGTGTCATCCTTGTAAGGATTGTATGCAAGCTAACTATGTATACGTTGTTTGACAACAAGAGATTTCATTTGGACTCGATAGGGAAAGCCCGCAAATAGCTGATGAAGTAATTTTAAGAGCTTTAACAATGAGAGTGTGACAAAAAGTGAGAGGTCAATAAGCAGGTGTTGTAGTGTTGTGTGTATCATCAATGCTACCTCAAAAAGTCACAATGACAGCAAAAATCATAAAAGTTCATTTATGCACCAAATTTCTATGAGCCATCTAGTGAATGAATCTAACCTCAATCATGAAGATAAGAATGAAACTATAAATCGCTATATTGTTCTTTAAATCCACAACTCCATACATTAATGAAACGTAAGAGAGTAAGAAGAAAATCCTACCAATTGATATGGACTACTGACGTGTGATTTGTAAAGAGTTACATGAAACATGGGATTGCCCGAAAGTGGCTCAATTTCTTCATCCTCTTCGGTATCTATAGATACAGGATCAAGTTGCTGCTCCTCGTTCATATCTCTTCATAATACAAAAAGTTCCATACATATCAAGAATCAAAACATTCATATAAGAGATACCTATTATATCAGAGCAATACTAAACATTAGCAGAGTAGCTGCTGGAATACTAAAGTATAAGAGATCACTTCTTACTCAAGGAAAGATTAACAAAATAACAAAAGCAAAGTTGTTTAAAGTCACTAGTTTGCACTTTGTAGTATTGAAATGAAGCAAATAAATCACAAACGCCTCTTTCTTCCTACACGTAGTTTAAGTCACTCTTAAATCCAGACTCTCTAGAGTCACGCTCCCTCTAATAAACAATCAATTTGACCCATTCTGACAAATTACACATTAAGTTGAGCTTGGGAAAATGATCATCAATTTTGTCGACCAATTCAAGAGTTAGAGCGAAGGGGTGTGTTGACCCTTTTGGTTTTGATGGACAAATTGACAAACTCGACTAATGAACGTTTTGAGTCTTTGGTGAATAAAGGGTTCAAGCAAAGTTCGTTCCGGAGTAGGAACTTGGATGCGGAGTAGCATTCTCTAAAAATCCTCATGCAAATCTCACGTTCTAGTTTTAATTGTGATCACTCAATAATATAAAGTCGGAAAGGAACTCAATGACTTATGTTATCAAAAAGACTACTGGAATAAAAGTTAGTTTTTAAAAGATAATTCTTTTAAGGAAAAAGATAATTTATAAATGTTTTATCTAGTCCTCTATTTTCGAATAAAGATAATTATCTAAGATAATTATTTAGTTGTTTTAAAATAAATAAATAATTTATCTTTTCAAATAAAATCCTTTTTAAAATAAAATCTTTTTAAACAAACTTTTGATAAAGTCAACAAGCAGTTTCATTGTTGCAAAAATCTCTGATTATACGGTTTTATCAGAACTAATATTTAGCAAGTTATTGAGATAGTGGATTAATGAGAAAGGCTAGGAAACCTCCTTCATGATCACCATCTGTCAAGATAACTCCACAAGTTGTTAGTGGGGTGTTGGCATGTGGACGTGATTATAGTGGAGGTTAATGACTAAGCCTTCTCTATAAATACTCATGCAAACTATCTCAGAAAAACATAACTCTTGAGCATAAAAATTCCAGTAGCAATCTAATAACATAAAAAGAGTTATTTTCCTTCATATATTCTTGAGTGTAATAGGTATTTGTAATTACAGATTGTATTCAAGCACTTTGCGGTTTGGGATTGTGAGTTTGTGTAAGGTGAGGTTAAGGAAGCTTCGCTGCTGAAGTCTTCTGTGAGAGTTGGGAACAAGTTCCTAATTTGCGGAACTTGTTAACGGGTTTGAATCTTCACTTGTAAAGAGTTTGATTACATAGTGGAAATTTGGAAAAGCCTATATCTTCTCTCGTCATTATTTCATTTAGTTAAATTCCGCAAAAGTTTTTAGATTTCACCTCAAATACAATTCACCCCCCTCTTATATCAGGGTGCAATTAAGATAAAACACGTACTCAAATCAACAATTCGAACTACAACCAATTCTAGGGGGGAAAATTACATGAAATCTAGTAGTACAAGATTAAAACTATGCTTAATGTGAGTCCATAATTTGAAAGCATCTCAAATCATTATCATAGCTAACTTGCAAGAAAAGATCGTTCTCAATTGGAGTAACCAATTTATCATCCAATCGCGCATTTTATATTACAACTTGCTCTTCACATAAACCATCACAATATATGTCACTAACTTGCAAGAAAAGATCATTTTCAATTGGAGTAACCAATTTATCATTCAATAGTATTTGATTGCCCACTACTATTGCAACTTGTTCTTTCTTCCACACTTTTAATAGCCAAAGACAGGATCAAAGATCAATACTTAGTCTTTGAAGCATGTAGACTAGCTAAATATTAATTTATCACAATTAGCAAAACCAAATTACGAATTACAACAAATTGATCTAATATCACTTTCAAAAAGGGAAATATTGTACATTATTACCACTCTCAAACCCCTTTTAAGAATTATTGTTTTTTACTTTACAAAAATTCTCATTTGTCTGTGCAATCAAACAAAATTCTCTTTAATTTAACTATAAACAGCAAGAATAATTTAAGAATGTTGTACTTGTTAGAATCAGATCAAACAAAAACTGCATAAATGTAACAAAGATACATTCAAATTTGATTGACAATAATTTAAAAGGTAAAAAGAAAATTGAACTAACCCTTGAAAAGGAGGAAGAAGAATCAAAGTAGTGGGGTTGTATGCCAACGCCGTAAAAGAGAGCCTGTGGTCGGAGGTTCTGTGGTTGAGTCCGGTGAGAAGGGAATGTTTTGAGCTCCGTATTTGTTGAATTGAATTCTTTGGTGTCTAATAATGTAATGATATTGACCGTCAAACGGACGCACTACAACTCTACAAGTCTACAAGAATTCAATGACTTTAATGTATTGTCAATTTTACTTCGTAGTCCGCATTTGGCAAACTTTTTCGAATAAGTATTGACGCATAGTCCCTATATATTTTACTTGCAAATAGAATGATATAGGTTAGGTCCCGTGTCATGCACAGTTATTGTTAATAACTATTTTTAAAATTAATAATGAATTTTTCTAAAATATTATACGGAGTAATGAATTTATTATAAAAGAGTCTATAATGCATCTAATTATTATAATAGAGTTTATTAGATAGATAGCTATTTTTAAAATGCATTTGACAATATGTGTTGTTCATATATTTATCATCAATAAATTGATACAGTTTTCTTGTTGTTAACCAAATGAATTTTCTTAAAACGTTGTACATTGCACTCTGTAGTCCAAATGAATGTCACTAATTATGTAAAGAACTTGATTTTTTTCCTTAAATTAATAGTTGTTAATATTTATTTGTAGAAGGGTACATCAAATCTTTTATATCAACTACTTTTTTAATATTTGAAATTCATATTACTTTATTAGTGGGTTTTAACAAATAACTAAATAAAAAAAATATTGTTGTAATAGGTAGTCATAACATTCTGGCACACATTCTAGCACAATTATGTTAAAAATCCGATGTAATATTTATTTCTTTTTACTTAATTTTATATTTTTCTCAAAAAAAAATATATAGTTGTCCATGTATCTATTATGGAAAGACCTATCAAATCTTTTATTTATGTATTATTTTGCTATCTTTTTCATTTATGTATAAGATTTGTCAAATATTTTATTTATGTATTATTTTGCTATCTTTATATTTATGTATAAGATTTGTTTTCTAAAGATTATTTTAAAAAAAAATTAAAATAAGGGACACACCATAAAATGACACGTGTCATTGCTGGTGTGTCTTTTAGTATATAGTTATTGATTTTTATAAATAATGAAAATTTAAGAAAAATCGGTGGTAGAAAATATGATGACAAAATGTACCACTACATGTATAATAGTACACAAAAATTGTACTATTGTACCGTTAAAAGAGAAAAAATGTACCACCGAATCCCCGATTGCCCTCCTATTTTTTTTTTCTTTAAAGTTACTGATTTTTACTGACCTATTTTTTTTTACTGAATATTACTTCCTCCGTTTCTATTTAGTTGATACGTTCAATTTAGGCACGCATATTAAGGATAGGAGAGAGAATGATTAAGCAGGTGGAGTACACTAAAAAAGCAAGGTATAAAACTTACCCAAAAAGAAAACGTGTAAACCAAAAATAAACTTCCTAAATTGAAATACGTGTAAAAAAACGGAGGTAAGTATTTTTTAAGGTATCGGGACTAAGTAGGGTTTGTAGGAGGGGAAGATAATGAAATATTTGTCGAATGTGATTAATGAGAGAGAAGTAATCAAATAATAGTTTATTCTTACCAAATAAAAGTGTTGCAATTATTTTAAAATAGACGTAAAAAAATGTTTTAATTATTATAAAATGTAAGAAAAACTTAAAAAATATATCGAAATTATTCCGATAAATTCCGATAAGGGTAATAGCATACAACTATATACGTAGGGAAAAAAAGAGTTCCAGAAAGAGAAACATGTACAAATATGATATTAGCAATTTATATTTTTATTTACAGACTCCATTATAAATACATACTGACAAAAAAAAAGTTGATAAAAGCGAGAGAATGTAGGAATAAGACATAGGTATGTGTCTTGATATTATTATCAGCACATAGCTAATATAATTACTTTAGCTAATAATAATCAACTAGCTCTAATAACAAGAACATTGACCTGTTTTTGAATTCAATAATCACATTTTAATTCGAAATACGTACTTCCTCGGTTCTTATTTGTTTGTCCCATAGCAAAAATCGAGTACAAACTTTAAAATCTTTGACCATAAATTCTCATTAATTTATAATGATAATGTAGTCAAGGGGATCTTGTTTGATTCTTCCCATTATATACATTATTAATATTAAATTTTTATAATTTTTACGCATATGAAAATAGAGATATTTACGTCTTAAAACACGTGTTGAAGATCATAAATAGTCCAATGGAGCAAATAAATAGGGATGGAGGGAGTAATACATATTTTAGTGCTCCCTAAAAGCATCGAAATTATTCTGCAAACTAAATTTAATGAACTAATAAGAAATAAACAAGATTGAACCTATAATAGTTTTCTTAATCAACAACTATAGGATTATAGCTTGTAACTCCTCCTCCTCCTCCTCCTCCTCCTCCTCCTCCTTCTTCTTCTCCTTCTTCTTTGCATTCTTTATCTTCTTCTTCGCCGCTTTTGAGTAGAGCAGCCGAAAAGTCACCTCGAAGAACTTGAACCTTTAACCTCATTGGATATTTCGACATGAGCTCGAAAGTACAAATATCTCCTACCTTAAGTTTGTTGTCAACAACAAATTGTTTCTATCTATCTATTATCGAACCTTTTATGTACTACATTTTTACCGATGTAGTTCATCCTCCAACTCTTAGTACCATGAGTGAGGATCACCGGGACTTCGATGTCAGGAAGGATTCGAGCACCTTCAGCCGGTATTGTCTGATATTGCTGTAATCAAAGAAACTTCTCAATAACGTAATAAAATGGACCATTATTGCATTATTTATCTACCTATATTCTAGTAAATTGAAAGTGATAAAAAAAAAAAAAAAAACCATACCAATAGATAGCGAGGACAAACATGCGTCTTAGTAAGAATAATATGGAAGAATGGTGCTCCTGTCTTCGGTTCGATATCAATATCCTCACAAGTATTCACTCTTGGTTTCATTTCTCTATAACACAAGGTGGAATTGGTCACGGCACACGAACGTGCTGCACTGCTGCCTTGGCCTTAGTCACCTCACTTAGCCGCTCAAGAACTTGTGTGTACTCGTATTGTTAGTACTACGAGTAGTATTTGTTTTGCCTACTAGTAACCCCTTTTATATAGAAGCTAGAGTGAAAGGAGATTGCAACCCCAAGTGCAAGCTAAGCTAATTGAGCTTCTAGTACATCGAGCTACAAAGTAACTATGTGCAATAAATTTGGGAGCATAGATGTCGAGTTGTGATTGGTCACACGGAGGAGTATAATGGCGTATGTAAGATAAGGTACTGTAGTTAGAATCTTGTAAGGTAAGAAAATGTAGTAATACTATACACATTCACTAAAAAAGAAGTGGATCGATTCTCATTACTCGTTTTTGTGGCTCTCTAAACACCTAAAAACTTTAGGTAATATGACAGAATAACGTAAAAATAATTGGAATTTGACTTAGAAACGCTAATAAATTTCATGGAAATGTAACATAATAACTAGTGAGCCTAGTTAGACACAAGGGTGAAGGGCCCAATGAACAATCGAACATCCCATATCAATTATCAACGTAACCCAAGTTAATTATTTTGGCGGGAAAAAATGTTCCAGAAAGAGACATGTGTACATACATGACATCAGCAGTTATGTTTTCTATTTACAGACTCCATTAATACTCAGGTTCTCTCTTCTTCTATGCTGTAAAAATACAGAAAAATCTGAAATTTAACCCGAAAATTTAAAAATGTCGGATCAACAATTTCCGGGTCGATTTCCCAGTGAAGTAATCACAGAAATCTTAACCCGATTACCCGCAAAATCCGTTTGTCGATTCAAATGTGTTTCAAAAACCTGGAAATCCTTAATCTGTGACCCCCATTTCGTCACTTCCTACATTGTTCACAACTCATCTTCATCTTCATGGATTATCGTTGATCGATTTGTCACCGAGTCAAAAGAGAAGGTAACTCAGTTCAACCCAGCTCAAAACCCTAACATTTCATCACTTTCTGCAAATCATCATCGTTTAATTTACGAACCAGTTACTAGTGAGTGGAAACCTACCAAAAACCCACCTGTAATTGTAGCTTCTAGCAATGGGTTGCTTCTGGTTTCGTTTCATATCGAAAGAGATCCCTTTAAAGAATATGAGAAAAACCCTAATCAATTTTCTCATCACAAAACGGAATTTGTTTTGGTTGTCATAAACCCAGTAACCGGTGAGTGGGTCCCACTTCCGAAACTCGAGGGCTCGATAAATAAGCTGAATTCTGTAGGGTTTATGTCAAGGCTTGATTGTTCTTGTAATGGGGTTGTGGAGAAGTTTATTGTTGTCGAGTATCAGCCTATTGTTGGGAGTGATTCTGGTTCTTTATTGTGCTTTTCGTCGGATACCGGCAAATGGGTTGATAAACCTGCTAGTTATATGCTTGGGATGCATTTTTGGAGGGCTGAAGGGGTGTTTGAGTTTGCTGGACGTTTCTTTTGGGTTGATTTAAGTTGTGGGGTGATTACTTGGGATGATGATGACCCTTTTCGCGGTGTTGAGGAGGAGAAGGAGATGGCTCGATGTCGGTTTATTCCGCTTCCTAAGGGGTGTAGGAAGCCCTTTAATACTCTGAAATTGGAGGATGAACGGGACATTTTCGGGGCTGGAGGGTATATTCACTATATGGAGATGTTTAGAAAAGGAGATTTTGTGTTGACGTTGTGGAGGTTAAAAGATTTTGAATCTGGTGTGAACGAATGGAATTTGGTGTTCAATTTGTCTCGTGTGGATGTTGAGAGTGTTCTGTGTTGTGGTGTGGATAAGTCACTGCCCCGGCTTTGTTTCATCCATCCTTTTGATGTTGATATAGTCTTCTTTAGCACGGAAGATCGAATCTTTTCCTATAATCTTCAGACTCAAAAGGTGGAGGCTGATGCTAGCTTCACTGGACATAAGTATGTTATCCCATTTGTGCTCCCGTGTTGGCCAACTTTGCTTCCTCCCCGGTTGTGTAAGTGGCTCTTTCAATGTTTCATTAGCTCTAGCCTGTTCGTAGAATAGTGTTGTGATATCTCTGTATTATACGTGTGTTATGTCTATCCATCTTCAAGGTTTATTGATGCTATATTGAACTTGTAAACTATTCTCTAATCACAAACTTTATGTTGCATTCAATGTTGGCCTTTAAGTAATCCGTTGCAATAAGTACCTTGTATTCAATGTGGGAGCTTTCTTAGAAACAACTAGTCTTGGGCCAGATGTTTTTAAAGCTGCAACTGTCCAACTGATGGTATATCACAACAATGTACTATATGAGCTAGAAGTTAGGTCTTGTGATGACATCAATGTGTTATAATATGGCTGTGATTTCATGCTCTTTATGATCCAAAGAGACTTTAAATTATATAAATGGGGGGTAATCTCATTTGGATCCTTGATGAGTCTTAACTTTTCAGTCAACTAAACGCAGGGATGAGGACGACTAAGTTTGAATAACTCAGGCCATAATCTGATTTAGCTAGCATTTTAAGGGTTGATAACTTGTCGTTTAATTTGAACTTACTCCCATGGTTGATTCAACTTTTTTGTAAGTATATTATTAATATCAGCATAATATAATATAATTACTTTAGTTAATAATTATGTTACTACTATTAATAATCAACTAGCCTAATAAGAACATTGCCTTAGCTTGTTTTCGGACTCAACAATCTCATCTTGATTCGAAATACATACTTCAACGCTCCCTAAAAACATCAAAATTATTCTACAAACTAAATTTAAAACTAAACCTTAAAAATTAATACTGGTTGAACCTATAATAGTTTTCTTACTCAACAACTATAGGATTATAGCTTGTTTCTCCTTTTTCTTCTTCTTCTTTGACTTCTTCTTCTTGTTCGTCTTCTTCTTCATCGCTATTGAGTAGAGCAGCTGGAAAGTCACCTCGAAGGACTTGAACCTTCAACCTCTGGAACTTTCGACATGAGCTCGAAAGTACAAACATCTCCTACCTTAAGTTTGTTGTCAACAGCAAACTGTTTCCATCTTTTATCCAACCTTTTATTTACTATATCATTAACGATGTAATTCATCGTCCAACTCTCAGTGCCACGAGTGAGGATCACCGGGGCTTCGATGTTAGGAAGGAGTCGAACACCTTCAGCCGGTATTGTCTGATATTGATGTAATCAAAGAAACTTTTCAATAACGTAATAAAATGCATCATATTTTTTATCTACCTATATTCTTATAAATTGAAAGAGATGAAAGAAAAAACATACCAGTTGATAGAGGAGAAACATGCGTCTTAGTAAGATTGACATGGAAGAATGGTGCTCCTGTCTTCGGTTCGATATCAATATCCTCACAAGTATTCGCTCTTGGTTTCATCTCTCTAAAACACATTAACAATCCATACAATACTATGATAAACATAAACTATAAGACTAATTAGTTAATTAAACTCTCCGTATTTAATTACTAAAATTAAATATGGTGTAAAGGTTGTAAACTTAAGACTTACGACATAGCTCGGTTCGACATAGTCGCGGCTCACAGATGTGCTGCCTTGGCCACCTTAGTTACCTCACTTGGCCGAGAAGCCAATCTCTGGAACAGGTCCCTAATATGCCTCACTGCTCAAGGACTTGTATGAACTCGTATGTTTGAGATAAAATGCACTATTTTTATGTACTCGTGTTTGTTTTGCCTACTAGTAACCTCTTTTATATAGGAGAGTGAGAGAGATTGCGACCCCAAGTGCAAGCTAATTAAGCTTCTCGTAGAGCTAAAACAAAGTACTATTTGCCAGATATTTGGGAGCATAGGTTTCGAGTTATGATTGGTCACACTGAGGAGTGTACAAGATGCATGAAGTATAAGGAATGGAGTATTTATTATCATGTAACGTAAGAGATGGATTGATGCAATTGACAATAAGTAGTGGATCAATTATTACAACCTATAAGTCTATAACATGACATCTAACTAGAATTGGAAAATGTTCAGGTCAATCTTTTGATTTGCAGAAATATGGTTATATGGATTGATGCAATTGACAATAAAGAATTTGGGGAATTGAAAGATATAAGAAGGGTTCGAGGGATCATAGAATGAAGTGAGAAAGTATGACGAGGGGAAATCGTAATTAATTAATTAAGCTGGTAAATATGTTCTTTCTGTCACTAAATGTTGTTCATAAGTCATAGTAGCAACATCATTTAGAGACGGAGGGAGTGATAATAAAACATACGGAGTAATATAATTTGGATACCCTTGTATAAGCAAGTAAAGCCTACTTCGTGCATATACATTTGAGATGGCGAGACTAGTAATCATACATAATTAGATTATAATTTTGGAATTGATAAAACAACAAATTAATAAAAAGAAGACTACATTCTTATTCAAGTGGAAACAATTCAAATGGAAACAAAAGAACCTATAATATAGGCATACATTAAAATATTTAATCAAAGACTCCTTAAAAGTGAAGGGCTAACTTAAATCGGAGTTGGCCATGGGAGTTAGGAACAAGGAAATAAGTTTATGATCGAAGGAAATGGACGACTTAAATCGGCGATAGTATGTGCCGTTAAAGCTTTCATGTCGATTAGAAGAAATTGGCCTGATGTTAAAGCGTGTGCATAGACAACATCTCCGTCGAAAGGATCAAAACCTTTAACTTGCATACTGTATTTCCTATAACAAGAGGAAACGGCCATACTACCAAGATTAACACTACTAAGATTGAACTTTTTATCGTTCCAAGCATGATTATAATAGTCCCAAAAAGATTGCAATTGAATCTCTATCATAAACGCGTGTATTGTATAGTCGTATGCACCCTTGTACATTGCTTAGGCGAAAGCTGTCATAGAAGTGTATATAATCATCCTCGTCATCAAAAAATTCCTCTGAAAATTTGATGTAGTCGCATTGGTCAGGCTTGTCGAAAGGATCGTATACAACTACACTAAGCGTGCTGTAAGTCCAACAGCCGTTACATATCACAGCAGGTTGATTCTGACTATAATAACTCGTTACTCGATTATAGTTTGAGGGGACCGGAACCACAAAGCTACTCCAACAGCCACTATCAGATGAGAAGACATCGAATTTGATACTATAATGAATGTTTTCGACATCAACAAATCGACCAATAACCACCTTGTATATTGCCGGATCATCCTCGCTACAAAGGATGCCAATAAAAGGAGCTTTTTTTTATCGAAGTTCCATCGACAAGGAAGTTCGAAGGACTGCTTTGTCGAGGGATTACATATCAAAAGATTAAGTTTCTCGTCATGGATCATATACAAGTCTTTCGACACACTTAACAAATTAAATTCCTCGACTTTCTTGTGCAAGAAATCGAATGAAATTAGAATCAAGTCTTTAAGAGAAGATTTCGAACTTGGAAAAACTCTTTGTATTTGAATGGTTAAGTTTTCACCAAACCTTACTTTCCTAGTTCCTGTAACAGGTACAAGCAAGTTATTATTAACCTTACCATTATTATTATGATGGCGAAACCGGTGAACAAAGTATGGATTCGATATTAATGTGACAAATTTAGGGGAAGAGTGGCTTGTTTATTATTCATCAATAGATAGAGTAGTTATACAAAACTAACATACGCTCATAAATAGGAAATAATATTCTTAAAAGATATACTAACATAACCATAAACCTAAAGATATATTATCTAATTAATATTTTTAACATAAATAAACCTAAATATATTATTCTCTTAATGATATCTACGGAAAATATATCACACATATATTTTTCGATATCTTACATCTCTAACACCCTCCAGCAATCGTAACGGCAATAACACGAACGCGATTGTAAATTTTTCTTTTGGTTGAAGTCGAGATGCACTACTCTGGTGATGTCGTTCATTTTTTTTTCTTCTTTTTCAATGATAAGACCGCTCATATTTTCGAATTCACCAGTCACCAATCAAGCAAGAACGTCATTCTTTTCGAACAATTTGATTTTTCCTAACCGAGCTCCAATCAAATAGAGCAAATCACGCTCAAATCTCTTATTGGTTTTATTTTAGAGCAAAACCAAACTCATATCAAAAGGAGCAAAATCATGCTCGAATCAAATCACAAACTCTGTATCACAACACAAGAAAAACCAACAAATAAACCCTGTCTCACGACACAAGGAAAACCAAAATATCTTGTCTCACGATACAAAAGAGCTGTTTTTTTTTTAATGTTTGCCATTTTTTTTTTCTTTAACTCCAAGCATGATGCGCTTGGTTTTATCTTGGCAGAGCACCATGATCCACCATAAACAACATCACAAAGCTATGCATGATCATTGCATCAAAAAGAATATTAAAGAGATATCTCAAAGACACTAGCACAACGGAAGATTTTATATATATATATATATATATATATATATATATATATATATATATATATATATATATATATATATATATATATATATATATATTAAAAATAATGAATCCCACCGGTGGGTTTAATTTTCTAACCTACCGACAGGGGGAAATTTTTGTGAGACGCTCCTCCCAAGATCTAACCTTCTTTTGATACCATGACAAATTTAGAGAGAAGAGTGATAATGGAAAGGCTTGTATGTTATTCATCAATAGGTAGAGTATTTATACAAAACATACGCTCATAAGCTATATAGGAAACAATCTTCCTAAAAGATATACTAACATAACCATAAACCTAAAAATATATAATCTAATTAATTAATATCTTTAACATAAATAAAGCTAAATATATTATTTTCTTAATGATATCTATGGAAAATATATCACACATATATTTTCCGATATCTCATATCTCTAAGACAATGATATCTCTAACATAATGACATCCAACTCTTGGAGACGCACTTAAATCGACGGGTTGATTGCCATGGTAGTCGAATAAGGATTTCAATCAAAATCTCATCGGTTAGATTTTCCAATTGTAATTCTATACAACTCTCGTTTGCCATGGCTAAAGCTAAAGCTAAAATTTCAAGGGTTAAAGACAATTGAAAATTTTACTGTATGTAAAATTTCAAGGATTTCTCTATATTCCTAGACTAGATAAAGCTAAAGGAAAAAAGTCTAAAGATATCCCAATATTCGTCATATAATTATGATATACTCGTATATAAACATTCATGATATCCTAATTTATGTTGTAGTAGGAGTTTATGTTTATTACGGAGTAAAATAGGTTGTTAGAGTACATTTAAGATAACTTTGCAATTTCCCTTCTTATTGTAGTTGTAGCTTAATTAGTCTTTTTTAATCTTTATTGGGCTTCAAATTAAGGTTTTTTATTTTATTTTGTACGCATACCATGGCCACACATTAAGAAATTCATAGGTTTTTTTTTTTTTTTTTTGGTACACTTAAGAAATTCATAGTTTTCTATAGTAATAATTTTTTTTTTATTGAACCATGATAATTATATAATTGATAATGAGCAATATTTACGAAAAATTAGGGTCTAATACATCATTTGGAAAATAATAAAATCTTCATTATTTCCTCTCTTACAAGATATAGCAATTTTTTTTCCTAATTTCTCTCAATTTATTTTTGCAGCTTTCTAATATAGAGATTTAGAGAGGAAAAAATAAATAATAAACACTAATGTAACACCTTACTTTATTTTAGTCCTAGTGAATTCTTTGCTTATGGATGATCAACTAGCTTAATTGGTTAAAATTTTGCCGTCTATGTCATTTTGGCCCTGTGGCTTTCACTATTTCAGGCTTAAGAAGCAAATGACATCCATTGACCCTTTTTCAAAACAAAACCCTGCTCGTTTACGCGTACTTCCATACTAACTTGTATACAATTATACATAGCAGCCATATATTACAATTTTTGCTCGAGCCAGTGAGACAAAAACCACATGAACGGAGAGGGCATACGCTCATACCAAGCTATATGTCAAATAGCACAGCTATTGCATAAACAAGTTAACAAAAGACTACTTACTAATAAACAACCTAGCAAATCATACTAGAGAAAGAAGCATGACTAATTTCATTCAACAACTATGGGATTGTTGATGGTACCATCTTCCTTGTTTAGTAACATAGATGGAAAGTCGCCTCGAAGGACCTGAACCTTGAACTTGAGCAAAGTATCACTTTGTTCCATGAGCTCGAAAACACAAACATCTCCAACCTCTAGATTGTTGTCCTCAGCAAATACTCTCCACCTAGAGTCGAACCTTTTGTAAGACGGTGCATTTTCACCAAAATAAGTTGTCTCCCAACTGTTTCCACCACGAGTTAAGATGACCGGGATTGTTTTGTTGGGAAGGGCCTGAGAAAATTGTATAGGTAATATCTGGTATCATCAAAGAATTGAAAGACATTAGTCATTCTTCTAAAGCACCTAGAATATGTCATATGTGCTAGGAATTGTGCTGTGGCGTAGTGTACATATATGTATCATGTTATTTCGACACAAAGTTTCATGACATGAGTGTAAATTAAAGCTTTCTGTTCCTAAAATTTTAACAGATCAGATGATCCATGAAAAGTTAATAAGAAAGCATACCACTTGATATTTATAAGCAACAAGGCCGATATGTGATTTCACAATAACTATAGGAAAGTAAGGCTTTCCTGAAAGTGGCTCGATATCAACATCCTGGCAGGAATCTGTAGGCACAGGTTCAGCTTCAGGTTCTGGTACAGGATCAACTTCGGGTTCACGTTCAGGTTTAAGTTCAACTCCAAGTTCTGGTACAGGATCAACTTTGGGTTCATGGTCAGGTTCAAGTTCAACTGCATGATCAGACTCTGGTTCAGCTACTACTTGCTCATTATTTTGCAGTGGTTCTAATTCGTCACTCATTTCTGTAACAGGAAATTTAAAGGCTCATAATATCAACAATCAAAAAATATTTGTTCGAAAATTTCAACGTAAAGATACAGATTATACATTAATAGAAAGTAATGAACTAGCTAGCTTCGAAATTGTTCAGCATTAATATAGTTAATGGCTAGCTAAACATAGAGCAACATTAATCAAGCAGGACAATTATTCTTTACTTAGGCTAGGATAACTAGAAGGTTTAAGAATTTTCTCCCCTATACACACCATATGTGTAATTTAGTTCGATTAAGAATGAAAACATGTCACATTTCCTAAGGTCTACAGCCGATCCACCCTAATTACGAATCTAACTTGTTTTGCTCGAATAATGTTCATATCAAACTTTATTTATATCGGAGGCAGAATTTGATGTGATTTGTTTCTTCAAACAAACTCATGTCTCATGGTTATGTACCATCAATTTGGTAGATTAATCTTTATTTCGGGCAAAATTAACTTTATACCCCCACTTTTTACATTTCCTCACACTAAAATCTCCTAAATACTCTTCAAAGTTGGTGTTCACATTTAATAATAGTACAAACCAATAAAGTGCACTTTTATTCTTGCTCTACTAAAAAACAAAATTGTGGTACTTTTTGTGATTATTTTCGATTTAATTCACACGTGATTTTACATTTCCTCTACTTTTCTTAATTTCCGTGAAAAATAAGAAATTAGCATGACAATTTGGGACGAAGGGAATAAAATAGAGGGATTAGATAGCTCAATGCACTAGACATCCATTACAATAAAAACAAGATGTTAAAAAAAGACAACAAAATCAAGAGAATAGTTAGGAACAGACAACAAAAGCCCAATTCATAGTGGATGATCAAGGAGGATTATCAAACATGCAACACATAATGAATACAGTAAGTAAATCAATCTGAAAAATGTCAGATCAAAAACAGAAATACAAGTATGAAGAAAGCAGATGATACCCTATCAAAGAAAAGCTAAAATTAAACAACCCCAGATAATGAAGTTGCTTGGAAGTACCTATAAGCTATAAAGATATAATCTTGCAAAAAAATGGTTAAGATATAAATGAAATTTAAACAAAAAAAGTACCTGAAAGTAAGCTATAGATTGCAAAAATGGTAAGATTTTGGTGACTTTCTGTTTCACCCCTATAGCTCAAAGTCAGAGCAAAAGATTGCCTCAGCTGGGTTGCTTCTGGCTTTTAATTTTATTTTATTTTTCTGACTTGCTTCAACTAATTTTCAGAGGTATTTATTTCTTGCATTTTTATTTTTTTGTGTGTAAAAAAAAATTATTTTTTCTTGGGGTAAGATGGAGGATTGGAGGGGTTCATTTATTGTAAGAAATTATTGTGGTAAATTACTTGCCTTACACTTTGGAAGTTGATCACAATTTTGGACCTAAAGTTATAATGGCTCGTAATTCAATGGTGTAATTAAATTTGGTTTAGGGAGATGGCCGAATGGGATTTTAGATCATACACTATCTCTATTTTTATAATTATTTTTTTATTGTACTCATTTACAAATGAGAGTTGTAAGAAAATTGAGTTATATTGTACGGAGTAGTAAATAAATTAAATGATTTCTCCCTTCTTTTTTAAGTTACACTTTTTATTTTCTACCAATGTTTTTTAAAAAAAAGCTTCCCTACACACACCAAATGTGTAATTTTGGCCAATTAAGAATGACAACATGTCACATATATAAGGTCTATATCCGATCTGTCCAATTTAGGATTCAACTTATTTTGCTCGGATAATATTCATATCAAACTTTATTATATCCGATGTATAGAATTTGATGTGAATTGTATCATCAAACAAACTCATGTCTCACTGTCTCATGGTTATGTAACATCATTTTGGAATGTATCATTAATTTGGGCAAAATTAACTTTATATCCCCACTTTTTACGTTTTCTCACACCATAATCTCCTAAATACCCTTTAAAGTTGGTGTCCACGTTTGATGATAGCACAAACCAACAAAGTGCATTTTTAAATGCATTTTTATTCTTACTCCATTAGAAATCAAAATTGTGGTATTATTCCCAAGGGTGTTGCCTAGTTAATCTTCTTGATTGTTTTAATTACTATGTCAATCTTTTACGCCATGTCAGCCCTGTTGAGTCAGCTGTAGGATGCAACACGTAGACAACCGATTTTTTAACGTTGCTCCTTATATCCAGTTATAGCGTTAGGTACTGTGTGGGCTACTTGATGGTGAAGCTAGATATTAACTATATTGAATTTATTGTAGGTAGTTGGTGGTTTAAAGACCATTTCAAGTAAGGGTATGTTCTGATTTACTGAACTGAGCTGAACTGAATTGAACTGAATTGTTTATGAGAGAAGGAAATTAGGAACTCAACTGATTGGAGCTGAACTAAATTGAACTGAAATTAAGCTGAAAAGAACAAGCCATAAGTCATTGTTCAAAATTTCTTAGGTAGTCCGGAATTGCTGCTACATATTTTAATACAATTTCATTTACAATACTAGTATTCAAGGCCAATTATCGATCTCTTCTAAAATGTAGCAAAATATATTTTCGTAAATTTTCAGCAACTTGTGTTTAAAAACTATATCAATAATTTTGTGTAAGAAATTAAGATAAATAAAGAGATTAGTCGTTAGAATGAGAGAACAACAAAGATACGATAAATGGAAGAAGAAGAAGAAGAAGAAGAAGAAGAAGAAGAAGAAGATGATGAAGAAGAAGAAGAAGAAGAAGAAGAAGAAGAAGAAGAAGAAGAAGAAGAAGAAGAAGAAAAGAAAAAAAACAAAAAATAAAAATAAAATAAAATAAAAAAGAGCACTCTAGGTTTCTGTTCAAAAAAGAGTATAGTAAGAGAATAAGGAGTAAAACATTAGTTCGGTAAAAAAAAATTAAAAATAAGGAGTAAAGTACAGCTAGTGGCTAAGAATAGGAGTCGAACCCTTGACTTCCCTCACAAAATTAATTAATCCTAAACAACAGACCTTTTATTCAATTTTGGACGCATAATAACATGTTATACGATTTTATGGCGCTCATATAATGAACCACGTTACATTATGGTACAAAAGGGTGGATCGGAATGGAGCAATTGTATTGTCTATCTTTGATTATTATAATTTTTTATATATAGATTTAATCAGAATTATGAACCATATAATTGTTCGTACATATATAAATCCGAATTAACAATTTAAATTCTATAATTTTTCGTACCAGTAATATAATGTATACGCAATATAAATCCGATTTAACTATTTAAAGTATACTATAAATTAAACTTAGATCATTTTTACATTTAAATATTATATACAAAATTATTAACCCGTGCGATAACCTTAAATGAGTACAACGAGGTAAGTAAAACGATTATTAGATCATCTCCATTGGATGCTTTATTGTACATGAATACGCGCAATTTAATGAAACTATGAGGGTAGTAGCTACCTAATATGGAAAAAGCCGGAAAACCAAAGAAACGAAGGGAGTACTAACATTAGACTTATAAAAGTTTAATATTGATGATGACGAAAATTGAAAAATACGACTTACAAACATAAGTGTAAGAAAAAATAGAAAATAAAAGACATATATAAATAAGTGGGTAATTTTTTTTACCTTCATCATTTTTATAAGAAAAAAATAATTGTCCTTAATGTTGGTAATAAAAGAAAAAAAAAATGCATATATGAAATATTTCCTCTGTTTTTTTTTACTTGACCTGTTTCTTTTATCACGCTTGCCAATGCAAAACTTTAACAATCAATAACTTTACTTTTCCATAAGTAAAAATTATAAAAGTTATATACTATGATAGTACTTATTGAGACGAATTTAAAAAGATCTCACATGAATATGTTTTTCCTTACCTATTATAAAAAAAAAAAAAAAAAAAAAAACTGTCAAAAGAGGAGTGGTGAGTAGTGTAAAAGTCAAAGCGAATCAAGTAAAAAAGAACGGAGGAAGTAATAAACAATAAAATAAAAACAAGACATATACGGAATAGCCATTTTGTTTTCCATATCTGTATGACTCTATGTATATCAAACCTAACTTGATGTCCAGTTTCCGGAAGACGTGTTTGAGTGTGGTTTAATAATTACATTAATTCATCCTGGAATAACAAAAATGTCCTATAATACAAATAAAGAGACAACTAAATACTGATTTTCCTTTGCCTTTTTTCACTACATTACGAATCAATAATTCTTTTAATAACAACTATAAATTTGTGGTACAGAAAAATAACATGAAATATAAATATTAAGAAGCTTCTTATGAAATTACGAGTATATAAAGTTGTTTTTAAAAATAATCACATTTAATCCCAAAAAAATAAATAAAATAATAAAAATAAATAAATAAAATAAAATAAAATAAAACTAGAGTAAAAATGCGTACAAAGCAAGTTCTTTTATGAGTGTCCTGATGACATGATTGACATCTATGCAACATGGAAAGTTGGTCACAAAATCCATTACTTTTTTTAAATCTTCAGATCAACTGGTATATAAATAATATTTAGCTATAAATTAGATTTACCATTACGTACATGGTGCATGCTCTCAAAACTCTTGCTAATCATAAGATATATTGATCTCTATCTCACTCCCCTTTGATCTATAACCAATGGCAAGGTCACTTTAAAACCATGACATTCAAACACAGTTTATGTAAAACTCACACAACGATTTCATAGTTCACAATACCAGGTCTTAATGATTGTATTGAAATGAAAGTACAATATTAAGTTGTATGATAAAAAGTGCATAAATAGTACTACATGTTAACCAAAGTGTTTCATTATAAATCAACTGGTTGCTGAATTTTCAACACACCATCAGTGCTGGTGGATTTTTCATTGTATAGGGGGGTGGTAGTATCTTCATATACTTGCTTCGTACCCCATCGTAAAGCAAATAAGTCCGGACGTCTACGCCTACCTCTAGTTCTACCGACAAGAAGCTCAGAAACATCCTACATAGCATTTCAACAAGTATAAAAATATTGGTACTGATGAAGCTCATCAATAGTTCTAGTCATAACAACACTCACGTTATACATTGGAGATTCCAGGGGTCCAAATGTGTCCCTAGCTACCTTAGAGTGTCTTTCGCCATATGCAACATCTATCAACTTCAAAATTATAATGAAAATAGGTGTGACAAGAGACGATAAAATTGAGATATTATAAAACATGGTAATTCACTATATTTACCCCGATTTTTCCATAGTCACCAGATATAGTTCGGTCTAGCTTTCCTGCATATCCAATGCGCGCCATGCTCCATGCCTTAACTCGAGGATATATATCCCATTCATTAGGACCCAAATCAAGGCGATCCAGATAGAATATCTGCAATGAAGGGCAATAATGCTGTTACATATAGGAAAGATCAAAGTGTATTCACAACATTTTTGAAGATATCATAATCACTACCAAAGAAATTAGATACTCACTACAACAAATATTGCACATCCACCGCATCCACCGGCAAACCCATTTGCATAAAAACGTCAGTGCAAAACTTGACACACTCTCTATGAATTTTGACAAAACCAGTTCACACCAATCATAGTTTGTGCAATCCATAGAACAACTCAACGCCGGTAACAAGTCAGATGCCAGTCTAGGGCATAATATCATTTGAAGGGCAATGATTAGGAATAACGTTTTGAATTCTTCTTCCTCATGCGCCTCAAAATGTCCCTCCAATCTATCCATCATCTGTAGTGTAAGAGGAATGCCAACTGAAGTGTATGTCCGACCACATTGTTGGTTTGGTGTCCCATGATCTTCCATATTTTAATAATATTGTTTGCACCTTCAAACGAACTTCCCCGAACAATTGCTTGTTTGTAGGAACTTTTTTTCCCCCAAGGGGGATTCCTAAAATCCAATGCACTTGGTTCTTAGAAAACTGAAACAACTGATCATTTGTACCAATTAACCACCTATTAATTGGATCAATACGCGTCATTATCCAGTAAGCTAACTGTCGGGGAAGATGCATATGGGAAGCCAAATGTAGTAGTCCACCAAATCCCATCTCACATACCCATCTTGTCCTCCTTTCATCAAATTTCTGGCATATTCTTCCAAATGACTCAACCCGACAGTTCATATTAGGGGGCTGCCATTGATTAAAGACATAAAAAATGGATACATTAGGGTACATTTACACAAACAAAAAATACATAAACTCCATCTAAATATTTACACTCAAAACATGTAACTCACTCTGCGCATTGCAACAGAATATTGATTAATCACTTGCCCTCTTGCTTTCACATAACCACCCACACTTAGCGAGTTATTGAAAGTCTAGATGGCTACTACAAGAGGGGGGGGTGAATTGTAGTATAGATGAAATAATGAACTTTTTGCGGAATTTAAACTAAGTAAAAACAGTAGAGAGACATGATATGGGTTTTTCTGAATTTCCACTATGTAAATTAACTCTTTTACAAGTGAATAATAAACCCGTAACAAGTTCCACAAGAGCAGAACTTGTTCCCAACTCTCTCAGAAATTTCGACTATGAAATTTCCTTCACCTCACATATTACAACTCTCACAATCCCCGAGATCTTAATTACATCAAGTAATACAAGACCTAGTGCACTTAATATAAGAAGTATGGAACTCTCTTCTCGTTATTACTCACTGGAATATTATGCTCAAGAAAGTGTACTATGCTTAGATAGATTGCATGGGTATTTATAGAGAAGGCTTAGTCATTAACCTCCCACTATAATCACGTACACATGTCAACACCCCACTAACATATTGTGGAGTAATCGTGACAGATGGTGATTATGATGGAGGTTTCCTAGCCTTGCTCAACAATCCACTATCTCAACAACTTGCTAGATATTAGCTTTGAGAAAACCGTATAAAGAGAACAATAAAACCGTTTGTTGACTTCTTCAAAATAATATTTATTAAGAAGATAATTTGTTAAAAAGATATTTATAAAATACTTTATTTAAATACTAAGATAAGAAGATAATTAAACTAAAAGGATAATAATAAAATTCTATTTATTTAATTAGTGAAACAGTAGAAAAGATATTTTTGTTTCAAAAGATAATAAATTAATTTTATTAATTTATTTATAAAACAATAATATCCGATTTTATTAAAACAGTAAACTAATATAAAATATCCTTTTTACAAACTTATTACAAACAGTTTTATCATAATTCTCAAAAACAATTTTTATACTCCATTTTAACGTTGTTTATTTTAATCTTAATAACGTGTCTCACTAAGTTACATAACAACTTAAATTGTAAGTGCTTACAAATAATCTAGAATGAGAAATTGCACGAGGTGTTTTCATAAATGCGGCTCCACATTCTTTAGTTTGTGTTCCTACTCCGGAATGGACTTTGTTGCTTGAACCTTTCATTCACCAAAGACTTAAAACACTCATTAGTCAAGCTTGTCAGTTTATCCATCAAAACCAAAAGGGTCAACAATATCCCCTCTTTTTGATGATGACAAACACTAACAAATTTAGGCAAATAAAAATCGTCCAGGCATACAAAAGAAAACTTAAAAATGTAAAAACACTTAAATGACTAAAACTTTATTAACTTAAAAAACTTAAACAAAAAACTTAAACTTATTGTCTTACTGAAGACTTAAAAAACTTATTGACTTGAATAACTTATTAACTTGAAACTTAGCAAAAACACTTGAAGAAATATACCTCATGAGATTTGTTTAGCCCAACAACACTTTAGCCTCCATGAAGTTTGTCCTTTTCCCCCTTTTGGCATTATCAAAAGAACAAAAGAACAATGCTATACTCTCACTACGCTACGGAGGGGGTAGTAAGCTCAAATATAGCAAAGTGAAGGCAAGCTAGGCACCAAGCAATCCACATTACAGCATATCATCAAGCATTAATCATAAAGAGCCAAGTGCCGGAGGAAAATAGAAAGTAAAGATATTAAAAACATTCAACAGAAGGTTTAGTTAAAAATAGTACAAACCAAAATAAAATGAAATAGTTCAAAGTTTTAATGAGCAATCAATTTGAAAGTGCTAAGAGGCAGGGTGAGCTGGGGAATCCTCCTTCTCTTCAACATCCTCAAAAGCAACTTTGTGAATCGTCTCAAGGATTTCCTTGTGACTTACTGTAATTTTAGCCTCAACAGCTGCAAGACAGTTATCTTGTGCTTCGATCATGGTTTTCACCTGCTCTTGAATTTTATCACCCATAGTCTTCACCATTCGAGCCATGTCATCCAACTTTGCCATCACTGTAGTAGATAATTTGGCAAGATCTGCCTTCACGTGCAGAATTTCAAAAAACAGGAGCACTTGTTCCAGCAAAGGCAGCAAAACCTTTGGCTGTGATGGAGGAGGAGGCTGGATAGGAGAAGGCTGTTTTGGTGGTGGTGGATCGGGAACAGAGGAGGGTTCCGTTTCAAAAGGAACATGGGTAGGAGTAAAATCTGGATCAGAATGGTCAAAGGAGCTAGTACTCTGATAGGCTCAGGAGTCCGAAAAGGTTGTTTGACAAAAGATCTTTTACTCCATCTAAGTTCCCCCTTAAACACAGGAATAAAAATATCCTCCTCTTCACTCTCGGTATCCGAACTGGATGGTTTCCCCCTCATAATGTGTTTCCTCCTTCGTGTCTTCTCCCTCAGATTTTATTTCTTCCTTCTTTTCTTCCCCCTCATATTGTATTTCCTCACTTTTGTCTTTACTGCTATCTCCCTCACTACTATCTCTCTCACTCTCAAGGACAGTGTCAGCACACTTTTCAACCTTTCCCTTCCCCTTCTTTTCTCTCCCTTCAATTTTGATTTTATGTTTCCCAGCTTTTGTACGAGAGATAAACTGAATTTTCCCTCCCTCTATTTCCATTCCTAGCCTAAGTAGAGATTGTTCACAGAGAATATTTTTCGGTTTGAGGTAGGTAGGAGTATCAGACTCCATGCTTATGCCAAAAGATTGAAACAAGACAGTGAAAAGAGGGCCGTAGGGAATAGTATTTTTGTCAGCATAGTACACGAGATGCTTAATCATCAATTTAGGGAAGTTGATTTGGATTTCCTTGGCTAGGCAATAATTGATCGTAGCATCCAGAAGGGAAACGGTGCTACGTTTTTGTAGTCGTGGAAGAATTCCCCTCCAAGTGAAGGTGAAGAGGAGTTTGTGGAGAGGAGATAAAACACTATGATTTGAGGTGACTACCCTCAGATTTCCTCCTATAAACACTTCACAATTTTCGAATCATTGGTGGTTCCTACATGAATAGTTTGTTTATGTTTAAGATAGGAACTCTGACCGGAATTGAGAACTTGGAACAAATCAGCCAAATATTGTGCATCAAAATTAATTTTCTTTCCTTTTACAATGGCTGAACACACTCCATTCTCATGTTTAAATGTGTCTTTGAATTCAACCAAAAGGTTTTGGTAAACAGGAGAAATTGAACATTTATGGAACAAGTACACCCATTGTTGATATTCAATTAATCTCAAAAATTCGGAGAACTTACAAACAGCACACCAATCGTAATTGATGTGAAAACCGAGAGTGTAGTTCCAGTTAGGGGTTGAGGATGCCTTTTGTCTTTTCTGACTGCCTCCTTCTGTGGTTGCCGCTTTTCGTTTTGGTGGAGCGAAAGGGTGGATTACGGCAATCGAAACTGGTTCATTCTCCATGGATTCTGGTTGAGTTTTGTGAGAGATGGAGGGTTTTGGTGTCGGCTTTGTGTTGAGGTTGGTTTTCATCTTTGGTATTAGGGAGGAAGATGAATGGGTAATGGAGGAAAGAGAGAGAGAGATGACGGTTTGAGAGTAATTGGGTTGAAGTGATGGATGAAGGTAGAGTATTGATGAGGAGAAAGTAAAAGGTGAATTGGGAAGTGTATTTTGAGTGGGGGTTAAGTGACGGTTGAATATGGGAGATGAATTTAGTTGATTGCACTTAAAATCTTTGAACCAAAAATAAAAAGATAAAATTTTTAAAGGATAATGTTGAAAAAGGCTATTTTTAAAGGATACCGAGAGTGAAGAGGAGGATATTTTTATTCCTGTGTTTAAGGGGGAACTTAGAAGGAGTAAAAGATCTTTTGTCAAAACAACCTTTCCCGAATCCTAAGCCTATCAAAAGTACTAGCTCCTTTGACCATTCTGATCCGGATTTTACTCCTACCCATGTTCCTTTTGAAACGTAACCCTCCTCTGTTCCCGATCCACCACCACCAAAACAGCCTTCTCCTATCCAGCCTCCTCCTCCATCACAGCCAAAGGCTTTGCTGCCTTTGCTGGAACAAGTGCTCCTGTTTTTGAAATTCTGCACGTGAAGGCAGATCTTGCCAAATTATCTGCAACGGTGATGGCAAAGTTGGATGACATGGCTTGAATGGTGAAGACTATGGGTGATAAAATTCAAGAGCGGGTGAAAACCATGATCGAAGCACAAGATAACTGTCTTGCTGCTGAGGCTAAAATTACCAAAAGTCACAAGGAAATCCTTAAGACGATTCACAAAGTTGCTTTTGAGGATGTTGAAGAGAAGGAGGATTCCCCAGCTCACCCTGCCTCTTAGCACTTTCAAATTGATTGCTCATTAAAACTTTGAACTATTTCATTTTATTTTGGTTTGTACTATTTTTAACTAAACCTTCTGTTGAATGTTTTAATATCTTTACTTTCTATTTTCCTACGGAACTTGGCTCTTTATGATTAATGCTTGATGATATGCGTAATGTGGATTGCTTGGTACCTAGCTTGCCTTCACTTTGCTATATTTGAGCTTACTACCCCCTCCGTAGCGTAGTGGGAGTATAGCATACTGTTCTTTTGATCTTTTGATAATGCCAAAAGGGGGAAAATGACAAACTTCATGGAGGCTAAAGTGTTGCTGGGCTAAACAAATCTCATGAGGTATATTTCTTCAAGTGTTTTTGCTAAGGTTCAAGTTAATAAGTTATTCAAGTTAATAAGTTATTTTTTTCAGTTAGACAATAAGTTTAAGTTTTTTTTAGTTCTGTTTAAGTTAATAAAGTTTTAGTTTTTTAAGTGTTTTTATGTTTTTAAGTTTTCTTTTGCATGCCTGAACGATTTTTATTTGCCTAAGTTTGTCAGTGTTTGTCATCATCAAAAAGGGGGAATATTGTTGACCCTTTTGGTTTTGATGGACAATCTGACAAACTTGACTAATGAGTGTTTTAAGTCTTTGGTGAATAAAAGGTTCAAGCAACAAAATCCGTTCCGGAGTAGGAACACAAACTAAAGAATGTGGAGCAGCATTCATGAAAACACCTCGTGCAATTTCTCATTTTAGATTAATTGTAAGCACCTACAATATAAGTTGTTATGGAACTCAATGAGGCACGTTATTAAGATAAAAATAAACAACGTTAAACTGGAATATAAAAATTGTTTTTGAGAATTATGATAAAACTGTTTTTAATAAGTTTGTAAAAGGATATTTTATATTAGTCTACTGTTTAAATAAAATCGGATATTATCTTTTGAAACAAAAATATCTTTTCTACTGTTTCAATAATTAAATAAATAGAATTGTATTATTATCCTTTTAGTTTAATTATCTTCTTTATCTTAGTATTTAAATAAAGTATTTCATAAATATCTTTTTAACAAATTATCTTCTAAAAAATATTATTTTGAAGAAGTCAACAAACGGTTTTATTGTTCTCTTTATATGGTTTTCTCAAAGCTAATATCTAGCAAGTTGTTGAGATAGTGGATTCTTGAGTAAGGCTAGGAAACCTCCATCATAATCACCATTTGTCACGATTACTCCACAATATGTTAGTGGGGTGTTGACATGTGTACGTGATTATAGTGGGAGGTTAATGACTAAGCTTACTCTCTATAAATACCCATGTAATCTATCTCAGCAATTTTTCTTGAGCATAATATTCCAGTGAGTAATAACGAGAAGAGAGTTCCATACTTCTTATATTAAGTGCATTAGGTCTTGTATTACTTGTTGTAATTAAGATCTTGGGGATTGTAAGAGTTGTAATATGTGAGGTGAAGGATATTTCATAGTTGAAATTTCTGAGAGAGTTGGGAACAAGTTCCGCTCTTGTGGAACTTGTTACGGATTTTTATTCACTAATAAAAGAGTTTAATTTACATAGTGGAAATTTAGAAACACTCATATCATGTCTCTCTACTGTTTTTACTTAATTTAAATTCCGCAAAAAGTTCATTATTTTACCTATACTACAACTCACCCCCCTTTTGTAGTAGTCATCTAGACTTTCAGTTGAGCATAATCAGCATCAGCATATCCTCTTAGATTAGACTTTATCTCAACAGTTATCCTACAATTCATCAACTACGTCAGCTTGTTTTGTAACACAACTACCCAAAATATAGTGCGGTTGAACTCAAAAAACAGATAGCATTACCGGAAATAGTCCAGGAAGTAAATCAATTGTGTTGTGAACAATCCCATTTCCACTTGGTCCAATCTGCAATTACAAATACCAGGTAAAATTCAAAATTACATTTCACAATTATAACTTCAATTCCAACTTCTCATTCTAACATTTAATCTTTGGTACCTTTAATGTAATTTAAAATTCATGATTATAATTTCCATATTCAAAAATTAAATTTTCAATTAAACTTTTACAAACTTACAATTTCTTGTTCCACGTCGAATTCACCTTCGGTCTGTTCATGCATCGGACGCCTCCTTTTACCCAACTCTATTTGTTCCATTCTGAATTCCAAAGTGCTGACAATAATGTGTACAAATTTAGTAACAGTTTCACAATGACTATCAAACGATCTGTAAATCTTACCAAATTGAGTAAATATGAAGAAAACAGAAGATACCCAATCAAAGAAAAAGTGAAATTAAACAACCCCAGATAAAGGTGTTGGTTGGAATTGAAGTAAGCTATAAAGATATAATCTTACAAAAAAATGGTAAGATAAAAATAAAATTGGACCAAAAAAATACCTGAAAGTAAGCTACAGATTGCAAAGATGGTAAGATTATTGGTCAAAGTCAGAGCAAAAGAATGCCTCAGCTGGGCTGCTTTTAATTTTGTTTCTGACTTGCTTCAACTATTTTTTAGAGAGGTGTAGTATTTATTTCTTGCATTTTTTATTTTTATTTTTATGTAAAAAGAAATTATTTTTTCTTAGGGAGAGGATGGAGGGGTTCATTTATTGTAAGAAATTACTGTGATAAATTACCTGCCTTGCTCCTGGTAATTGAAGCTGATCACTGTTTTGGACCTAAAGTTTTAATACGCTCCTATTTCAATAGTGTAAATAAATCTGGTTTTGGGGTTTATAGATCATACACTCGTTAATGGTTGTAAGAAGAATCCATAATCAGAGAATTATAGGACAAATAAAAAGATAAGGTGTATATAATAAGGGGTGAGCATGGTTCGGGTATCCGTACCGTTAACATTATCGGTTTAGGTAACCGATAACCAATAACACTAAAAATGATATCAATGAACCGAACCAATAAGTTCGCGTACCTAAACTTCGGATACCCGGATTTTCGAATCGGTTATCAGGTACCTAATATGATATCCAATAATGAAAATTTAGACTTTATAATTTAGTTATTATGATATCATTTAACAATAATACCATATGATCTTGACCACATTACTAATAATATTACTAATCATTCAAATTATGAAGTGATTATGAAGTAAAGTAAGAGTTCAGATTTTGGATAAATAGATTTAAGTAGGAAAAAAATTGAAAAATTTGCTTATCAGATCGGATAACCGTTAATTTTAAAATGATACCCAATAACCGTACCCGATAAGAAATTATCGGATCGGATACCCGAACCATTATGGTTATCAGATCGGATACCCTAATTTTCGGATCGGTTACGGTTCAAATTTTCGAATTTTCCGATTTTTCGGATAATTTTGCTCATCCCTAAATAATACGGAATAATAATGTGTAAATAAAATAAACTAATGATAAAATAAAAACAAGTATATATTTTTTCTTAAAAAAAACCACTCCATTTTACATTCATCTCGTGGCCTACCACCTAATGAGTTGGGGATGACATTACTACATCGTAATACAATATTGTTTAATACTTCGTATGAATTACAATGAAGATATAATACTGTATACTTTATGTTAATTGGGTGAGATATGGTAGGGAATGTGATCGTTCTATTTAATTGCATTGCTTTATTTATTTCAATTTAAGACTAGCATCAAATGTGCAAGCATGATAGTACGGAGTATCTGTCATGAGCATCTTAGAATGAAAAAGTTTATTGTAAGTTAAGAAGCTAAATTTATGCTTCTTTTTCTTAACATTTTGCAAGCCAGTTGATAACCAAAGTAATTTTTAAAGCGACTATGAAATGAGCTCAAATTCTGGTGTAGAAAGTTGCTTATTAGTATCTAATTTTGTCAAGGACTGTCTAATGGAGCATTTTATCATGCTATAATGGAGTATCATATAATTAAGTAATTAACCACTAATCATACTTCGTAACTGATTTTGAGCTTATAGAACCTGAAAACAATCCATAATTCTCCTAATATAATAGTGACTATAACACTCAGATGAAGATCTAGCGTGTCATCAACTGAATCTAGTGTAGTTAGAAACTATGATACCTCAAGTTTGCTGGAGCAAAAGTGAAATTTCTTCAATATATATTGGTTTAAATTGAATGACTTATTGTTCAATTTTACAAGAACCAAAATCTAAAAAGGTAACAATAAACTTTCAAGGTTAAAGATTCTTTCATCACCTACACATCCAGAACTTCTAGTTTTTACAAAGCCCAAATGTTCATAATGTACGTAATACCATACAATGATTAAAAAAACAGGATAAAGATTTCATCAAATACACAAGATGATATACCTGGCCAGCAAAGAAACCTTGCAGCTTTGTTTTGCCTCCACGATATTGTTCAACTTGCTTTGGGTTTTCTGCAAGCACTTTATCAATCATTTGCTCTATCTCAGCTGGATTTGTAATCTGCAAGTTCATCAAGGCAAGAAGTAAATCATAGCAAGTTATTTTGTTAAGTTTATGACAAGCAGAATTGTAGAGACTAGCATTCTAGTCAGTATTCTTGGACTAACTCTTAATATAACAGAGCACTGAATTAGTGAATCTAGCAGCAGTACCAGAGACTCGTCTCTTGGATTTTCCCCCTTTTGTGAGAGTGTTGGGCAGATCATAAGCAATATGATACAGTTGGTGTATACACTGGTTGACATATAAGGATGCTATTTACTGGGGGACCTAATTACTGTCAAAGTATAATAGATGGGGGTGGCTTTTACTCAAGACATAGGAATGATAGGATAATATTCATTTGGCGAGCTGGCTATGATACTTTTGATTCATCTTAATACAATATATCAGTCTTATGCTAGAACTTTGTGTAACTTTTCACGCAAATTGACCAACTCAAGGACATAATATGTAAAGGCAAATCAAGCCAGAATCTCAAAAGATCAACTTTCCAGCAGCTTGGCTAACCACATCAGTCATATATTAGCTCATATTCATAAACTACATTTTCGGATTTCCAATTTTCTAGTGGCACAAGATATGCAAAGGGTAATAAGATCAGATAATGCACTGAAGTACGCAATCAAAATGGCAAGCAAAGTTCTCAATTTCTAATGTCAATAGGGTAAGATTAAAATAAAATTCTTGGAAACATGAAATTACCAAGAAACCAGATTAATGTGTTTCATATCACAGAAACGAACAGTCTGGAACAGTCTGACAATGCAATGCATAACCTCCAAAATCATCTCCCCACCCTCCCCCCAAGACATCATGAAATTTTTTTTAAAAAAAAACAAAAGGATCAAGAGAAAAAACATATTTCAAAATAAAATTATACATATAAGCAAAACTATTTACCTGGACCAAATTCTTTTCCTTGATGAGACCCTTGACAGTTCCTCCTTTGGCTATAAGCTCAAATAGTATCTACAGTACAATAAACGGCCTAAGTGTAACGCCATACAAAGCAGATAAGAGTAACATGGCATACAAAGCATATAAGAGTAACATCAGAGATAACCAAAAAGGCAACACTAATTGAGGCTAATATTCAGTCTTATTCTTATCAAAAAGGAACAGTTAATCTCTCCTTGCCACAGAAAGGGCACAATAACATCATACTTAAGAGACAAAATTAAGAACTTTGAGAATCAATATGCTTAAAGTAAGAGTAAAGCCCAAAGGCAACTAATACAAATCCTGGTAAGATTCGGTTAGAAATCTTAGAATTCATTAATTTCACGTCCCTTAAACTTAGCAAACTTGGAAAAGTTAAAGGAAATAACAGGACCATTGAATCAAAGTGGTAATCAGTATGTTGTCTGTCACTAACTCACTATCCCATCTATTATCCCATCACCAATTAGATTTATCACTTTTTTTTTTTTTTTTTGTCGGTTAGAAAACCCTACCTCAGCAGGACTAATATGCTATGAATTATCATAGCTATGGACTGAATGTAGAGTTGAATATGATAAGTAAGGAATAAGAAGATGATCTGATTGATGACCGACTGGAATACAGCAATAAGAAGGATATCAATGCATTCGAGAGGCTTGATTCTCTCCCAATCAACTACCTAAGAGATAAGCAAAAGTGCAAAACACTCATCAACATTCAACATGACTTCCCTCTCCCTAATCTTCTCTGTTTATAAATGTCTTCCTTAACTAACTCCCTAACTTTTTTCCCAAGCTACCCATAGCTAACTTGTAAAGCTAAAGCCTAAAGTTTCTTTCCCCCATACATCAGTTCATTGCATTTTAGTAGGTCATTGTTCTATTACAGTAGGTTCACTTCCACGCTTCTACGACATTATCATTGAAACTTGCATTTTTTTGGATATTAGTGGACAAGTGACAAGTTGATACAGAAGAAGATAAGAAAGTGGGCATGGTTTTCTTGGCATAATCACTGAGAAAAAAGTGCAAAAAATAACAACCACGAATATCCTCAATATATTCCTTTGAATTGGCGCAATTCCTGAAGTAAAAATATTGCTTCCTGTCAAACTTTGAATTTAAGGACAGCTTGCAATTGAGCGCAAGGCCAAGTTTCACTGCACACTCAATCACTTTGGAATTCAAAACCGGTAAGGCACCAGGCAAGCCCATGCAAACAGGGCAAATATTGGTGTTCGGTTCTGAACCATAATTGTAATCACATCTGCACATGGGTTTCTATACCAATGATTGCTTCATAGTCTGTCAATAATTTGTCAAGTGTTTTGTTGTGGTTTCGAGCTACAACTTTTGACTGTGACTTTGGTTTATCTTGTGCTGTTACACTTTGGGTATGTAAGTTATTAGATGTGCAGTATAAAACACCCGCTTTTTTAGTCAACAGAGAAAATGGATAAATACACAGAGGACGAATTTGCAACCCTCTAAACAATACAGATGTCATCTTACTGATTGATTACATCAACTTCAACATCAATAGAACAAAATTTGAGTCTGCGATAGAAGCAAAGAAGACTTACATTAGTAATACTAATAATTGATAATTGGGTATAGAATTGCAACAAAACTAAGTATGTAACCACTGACAGCAGAAAGAGACCTGCATCAATCTTAAAATACCCTGAAAGAACAATTTGAACATGAACAATAAAAACTGAAGACCCTAAATCATACATCATTCCAACAATTCTCCTCTTCATACAGAAACAAAGCAACCTTCAATCCAAGACTGGATTTTAAATTAAGTTATATATCTGCAAGAAAATATGAGGACTACTCTGATATGGAAAATTTTCCCATTCCTGTTAGCACACTGTACAAGTGTACATTTCTTCTAAACCTAATTCCACGTCTATTTCTTACTAAGATTTGACATTGGAGATGCTTCTAAGTCAACTACCAAGAATTTAAGCTTAACTGCTTAAGCCATCCTTTGATTTCACGGACAAAATGATAGTGACCAGTTACACTAACAGAATAGGTGTGTAATGTGCCAACATTTTTCATCACATTCACAGCAGACAGCATTACAGAAGCTGCTATCTATAATAAATCTAAATACCCACCAAAATCTGCTTCCAGTCAGAAACTCTTATTTAAACACATATGACATCATAAGCCTATATTTAAAAAGGAAAGAATCCCAAATAAGCCTAAAAGCCTTCCACCTTACATGTCGATTCTAAAATAGCTTGTAGCTGAGCGAATGTGCAAAAACCTCCCTTGGATAAAAAAAACCCCTCTTTACAGTATTAGTCTTAAGGTTATTATAGCCCCTTTGAATCCATCTCATGGATTTATTTGCCACATCGTCCTAGTACAAGAGGAGGACATCAAGGATAGGTGGAAGGGGTACTTTGATGAATTGTTTAATGGAAGTAATGGAGTTGTGATAGGAGATACCTCCGTGTGTGATGAAGAAATCAACATGGAGTATGTGCGGAGGATTAGGAGAGTAGAGATGGAGATTGCACTGAAAAAGATGAAGCCTAAGAAAGCGGTTGGCCCTGATGGTGTACCGATGGTGTGGAGGTGTTTAGGTAAGATTGGTATTGATTGGTTAACAGACTTTTTCAACAAGATATGGACGGCTACAAGGATCCCGTAAGACTAGAGGAAGAGCACCTTGGTCTCGGTCTATAAAAACAAATGAGACGCTCAAGATTGTTCTAACTATCGAAGGATCAAGCTTATGAGCCACATTATGAAGTTGTGGGAAAGGGTGATTGAACATAGGTTGAGAGCATGCATAAGCATTTCGGATAACCAGTTTGGTTTTATGCCGGGGAGATCTACTATGGAAGCAATCCATTTGATAAGACAAATGATGGAGTTTTATAGGGTAAAGAAGAAGGATCTTCATATGGTCTTTATTGATTTAGAGTAGGCTTATGACAAGGTGCCAAGAGAGGTACTTTGGTGGGAATGTTGAAGAAAGGTATCCCATGAAGGTACGTGGACCTGGTTCAGGATATGTATCGAGATGTGTCAACAAATGTGAGGACATGTGGAGGGTTGACAAAAGATTTCCCTATTACAATCGGATTGCATCAAGGGTTTGCATTAAGCCCTTTTCTTTTTGCAACGGTTCTAGATGAAGTAACTAAACCAATTCAAAATGAGGTTCCATGGTGTATGTTGTTTGCAGATGATATCGTTTTAGTGGATGAAACTAAGGATAGGGTTAATGCCAAGTTGGAGCAATGGAGGCAAAGGTTGGAATTTAGAGGGTTTAAGCTAAGTCGGAGTAAGACTGAGTATTTGGTATATTATTTTGGTACTCAAAGGGGGACAAGCAATGAAGTGGTGAGTTTGGATGGAAAGGATTTGACCATGAGTGAATGTTTAAAGTATCTAAGGTTAATCATCAGAAGAATGGTGACATTGATCAAGACATGGCCTAAAGGATTAAGTCGGGGTGGCTTAAATTGAGAGCGGCCCCGGGAGTGTTATGCGACCGAAGCATTCCCTTACGGCTGAAGGGAAAATTCTACAGGAGTGCCATAAGACCAGTGTTGCTCTATGGTACAAAATGTAGGGCTTCTAAGAAGGAGCACATTAAAAAGATGGAGGTTACAGAAATGCGCATGTTAAGATGGATGTGTGGGAACACTCTAAGAGATAGAATCAGAAATGAGGTTATTCGCAAGAAAGTGGGTGTGGCAGGCATTGCAGATAAACTAAAGGAAAATCGCCTGCGTTGGTTTGGGCATGTAAGACGGAGACCCAAGGGTGCACCGGTGCGAAGAGTGGAAGAGTGGGACCATGGAGGGGTTAAACAAGGGAGAGGGAGACCGAAAATGACTTGGTTGGAAGGAGTTGGGAAGGATATGAAGTGTATGGATGTGCATGAGGATGAAGCATTGGATCGATCGTAAGGGATGGAGGAGTAAGATTTATGTCGATGACCACACTGAATAATCAAATTTGGTTCATGTTAACCGACCCCATTTATGGGATTAAGGCTTTGATTGATTGATTGATTGATGAGGTACCCCGTGTAACACAAAAACCCAATGTGCTTCACAATTGTGATAATATAAGGCAAGGTGCAAATTTTTAAAATTTAAACCCCCAATTCTCTTAGTACAGATTTTTTCAATATGTGTAACTTTCTTGTTGGCAAAAGAAACCCATGAGAAATTCCTATGCATGCTCTCAACCCTATTCGCAACTATTACAAAAATATACTTCCCCTGCTTATATTAATCACTACATGGGGAAAAGGCACACCAATTAAGGAGTCCATGTGAAAAGAGAGATAAAAAGACGGGCTCGTGTGATGAGGAAAGAGATAAAGAGCGACAATTACTGGAAAAGATTATGAGCAATTAATATGAAATTTTCAGATTAGGGAAATGCATCCAAACTGGAGAAAGTAGCTTTTTGGGAAGCTTCTAACCCTTTTGACAATCTTGTCCAAATATAAAAGGTACATCTTGTTCCACTCCCAGCAAATAAAGAACAGCAATATACAATACACTAATATGAAAAGAGCTTGATAAAATACTAATAAACAATCCTCGATCACAAAGAGGAAAATAAGGGCAGAGTCGTAGAGACTGGTTCACCCTATCTAAAGAATCTCCTCCCGTAAGATAACTATACACAATCATTAAGTCAAAATAATGTCTTCTTTCCAAAAATTAAAAAAAAAAAAATCTTTCACAATATCCCATGATTCCCATCATATGGCATCAGATAACTTTCTTAGGCTATATCATTAAACACTGAATGGAAACATTTTACCTTCTATACTTCCTCAAAGTCTTAATCTATGCTAATAAAAAATGGGTATGAATGTCGGGTACATAAAAATGATACAATTCACATCAAAGCTTAAAACTTCAGAGATGTGTGAACAAGTTCTATCTTTTATATGTGCTTTGCAAGTTACAAATACACTTACAAACATTTTAGGTTGATGATTCCTTTTAATATTATAATCTCAAAACCATTTAAAGACTCTAACATAACTTTCTGATCTCCTTCCATCTCCATTTCATCATGTTTCAGTAAAGATAGGTGGTTCAAAATGATGGAAATGTCAGGATAAATGTAATTAAACTGCCTAGTGCCTAGCAACAAATCCATACCCTTGACCGAGTGTCGGGTATCTGAAAATTGGTACATTGAACAAAATGAAGAGTTGAAGTTACTTAAGTTTATCTTGAACATCAATTGTGAGTATTTTTAACTTAACCCACTAAATGTGAAAGAGTCAATCAAGGAACTATATACTTGTACATTCGAATTTCGCTACAACATCAACGAAATTATAGTTCAATATGACAAACAGTTGAATATTGTCATCCTAATTGATTAAATTTTCTCACCCACTTATCTTCTCACTTAAGAATTTGAACATAAATTGCAAATAACAAAATACTGGCAATAAAATCGCTCGTTAGAAGCTCAAATAACATCAGCAATTACAACCAATAGTTCAATATTCCACCTTAGAAAACCCTAAATTGACTATACTGACAATTAAATTAATAATAGCATGAAATTAAATCCCACATTGTGCAATTAATTGTCGCTGATAATATAAAAATGAAAAAACATCTTACCTCAGAAGCAGCTTCAATGAGAGAGAAAAAGCTCAGGGGTCACTTCAATGGAGAACTCAGAGTAGCTACAATGGAGGAGAGAGAGAGGTGCAACGGTGAAAAGCTTCAAAGTGGAAGTAAATAAGGGAAATAAAGCTCGGAAGCAGCTTTAATGGAGAAGTTAGAGCACGCTTCAATGGAGGAGATAGAGAGGTGCAATTTCACTGCAGAACCAAGGTGTTTAAAGACCCGCATATATTCTCAACCGTCAAATCTAGATAACATCAATGGTCAATTGGTTAATGGTTATAGGCTTTGAGCTCATTCTAATTTAATTTTTGTTCTCGTCTAAAAAGCTCTAGTTGAAAATTGAAAATAAAAATGATTTTATTCAAATTGCTATGTATAGCAGGCTTAACTAGAGATAGAAATGGGTTAGGCTAGTTAGGCACGGCACGAAAAAGGTTCACCCCGACACGAGTCCATCATAAGCTCATATTTAAACCCAATTATTTTTTAATCAATTTACCAAAAATTAAAACTTCATATAAATTAAAGTGGCCCACTGGCACGACACGGGAGTCAGGTTGTGCATGGGCTCCATTTATGAAATATCGATATGAGCCCAACTAGGCACGCCTTTTTTTTGGGCCATTGGGACAATCTTTTTGAACACGAGGCACACTAGCATGACACGTGGACCTATACAACATGGCTCTGCTCATCTTTGTATTAGTCTTTAGGCTTCTTTTAAAGCACTTTCACTTGTGAGCAAAAGTTTGCTCATGAGAGGTTTTGGTGGGGAGAAAAAAAAAATGGATCAATTCTCGTCAACAATTAAAATATGGTATCGGTCATACTTTTATGAATTAATCCTTACTCAACTTTTGAATCCCCCTTACCCTAGCAACCATGTTGTAAAACATGGTATATTAGAGAACCGTAACTTGTTTTTTTTAAGAAAGAAACTAAACTAATTTAATGCTTATTCGGGCTTGAAAAAAATAATAATGTACTTAAGTATCATGTTTACCAATTATAGTCACTCTTATAGTCTTATGTGTGTCCCCAACATCATGACTATTTTTTTATATTTTTGACAAGCCAAACATCATGACTTTAAAATAGCCCATTTTCACTTGACTTCATTTTTGAGATAAATAAATCATAATTGAATTCAATTTGGTTCCGCTTTCCAATTCGGCTACTTACATTTTAAATTTGGATGATACAAATTATCAAAAAAAAATCAACCCCAAACCTAAAATTTCAATTTGATTCACATTTTTAGTTCGATTAGTCACCATTATTGAATACATTCTTTCCAAATTTGGCTAAATTTTCATCAGGTAACAGCATCTGAAGTGAGAACAACTTATCCTAAGTTGTGGAAAATACAGAACAGTCATTGCACACATATTCCAATCCAAGAGTAGGACAGGAAAAAAGCAGGATTCCCAATTCAACTTAATCTGAAGCATCACAGAATTTTCTCTACAAAAGCATCAAGTTTTTTGCTTATGTAAAACTGGCTAGACTAGACCTGTCTCCTGTAAATACATGAATGAACCTAAGAGATGAAATCAGTTACACCGTTATACGACATTAATGTTGAATGTGTTTCCATAAGAAAGAAACACCAGTTTACAGCTCCCCAAGGTAGATCTGTTTGTCACTACTGCATGATCCAACAATAGGCTCTCTTGGGTGGAAAACAGATTCATTCACAGAGCCAGTATGGCCAGGGAGCTTGTACAAGATACGCCGAGTAGTTGTATCCCAAATATAAACCATCCGGTCTGCATTTCCAGCAGTGACTTTGCTGCCATCAGGAGACCACGCACATTTCAACAAATTCTTCTCAAAATTATGTTGATGACCTTCCAGAACTTTAACGCAACGGTTTTGAGGAGCATAGGGGCGCATATCCCAAATGCAAAGCTTACAGTCCATACCATTGGTGAGAAGATAAGATCCATCAGCACTTAAAGACATGCCAGTGATCATATCCTGGTGGCCTTGGAGGGTCAAAGTAACTTCATTTTTGCGAACATCCCACACTTTGACATCATTGTCAATCCCACCGGTGTAGATTTTATCAGATGCATCAGAGAAACAAACAGCAGTTATTTGGTATTTGTCTGGGAATGTCTGAATAGCACCCTGTGACGCATATCCCAAAGCTTTGCAGTTCCATCATCAGACCCACACAACAAGAGGTGGTCCCCTCCGAGCAGGACAGCATGAGTTAACAAATGAGGAATGCTCAGCCATCTTTTTGATCTGTTTCCCAGTTTCAGCATCCCATGCTCTTACTGTCTTATCAGGACTAGCTGAAACTAGCTGGGTTCCATCAGTGGTCCAATGAAGATCAAGGACAGCATTCTTGTGACCCTTCAAAACCATAAAATTTTTGCAGTCACCATGCGCATTCCACAAGAAAATTTCTCTATTGTGTGAACCTGATGCAATGACTGTTCCTTCCGGTTGAACTTCATGGTATATACTGCACTTTGGTGACCGGTCAACAACATGATTGGTGATTCCAAACTTGATGTTCGCTGTCTCCCATTTGGCCCAGGGGCCTGAGGAGCATTGTACGGCACAGTGGACCACTCCATTGGCCTAGGGCCAGCCACAGATAAGGCACTTTCATTGTTATTTGTAGTGGCCAGCATCTTGCTTTTAGCTTCACTGAGTGACACCGAAGAACTGTCTGCACCTGCCCTGGAAATGAAGAAAATATGACTCACACTACCAAAATGTCCAAAACAAAGAAACAACAAAGCAGGAAAATTCATCAAAAATCCATAGAAATAACAATTTATAAATTAGTGGAGTTATGTAACCGAGGGACTGCATGGTTCATCGAAGGGGAAATGGAAAGAGGAAAGAAATCAAGAAATAAATTTAAAATTTTGGTTTGGTTAATATCCTTTTATATAGTTTGGTTTCTCAAACAAAATAAAGCTATTTGGAAAACTTGGGTCCACTACTTTATTTTCCTCCTGAGAACCTGCTTCCCTCAGTATCAACTGCTCTTGCTCATACCACTTGATCCACCACTCTCAGCTCAACCAACCTCAGCAGCTATTTTCCTAACCAGCCTGGACCCAGCTGTTGCAATTGGTTGCATTACAGTGTTGTGTTTCTGCTATTACCTTGCCATATGCCCAACTAAAACTTGACTTTTGGTAGTTGAATTAGGCCAACTGGAAGCAATTCAACCACCAAAAGACAAGATTCAGGCCATATTCAGAATTCACTCAAAAAATTTGTGTTGATTGAGCCGTAAGTTTTTTTGCTTTTAGATCAACTTTTTACCCCCTCGCCATCTCCTTTACTGGTGGTCTATTGATAGCTCAGTCAAGTCATTTTTTTGAATGATTGTCTCAGTAAGATAGTGTCCTAGGTTAGGGGAAGGTTTGACAATGGTAGCAGCAAGCTATGTTTGGGGCTGATGTTTGCCGATGGTGACAGATTTGACTCCAGCTTCAGCGGTGCTGGTGAGGGTAGATAGATTGCCAGTACTGATGACACAGGTAAATTATAAATGGTGTCAACACCGGCAGAACCCGCGGAAGTGAGTCCAGCAGTATGTGGTGGTGTTAGTCATCGGTCTCTAACAACCATAACATTTTATGTGGGTCTCTGGCAGTGGCCTGGTTTAAGGGTTATGTGGTGAAGGTAGCTACCCCTTCTAATTTGTAATTATGTTTGTTGAAAACCCAATAAGAACTAACTCAATTCCTTGGATAGAGGTGGGGAATCATATATGGTACAACCAACCAGCAAGAATGTAGGTGCTGATTTCCTCTCCCCTAATTGAATTCCTTAGAAACCTAACAGCCACTAATATTTTAGAGACAGCCCAAGCAATCATTTTTAATTCTTTAACTCAGAAGATGATATATATAAAGTAATTGAAGTATGGCCATATTATACTTGCCTAAAAACCACTAAAGAAGCTAACAACAATGACACCTAGGCTAACTAAAAAAAAATGGACAAGTGGTGGCTTCAACAAGAAAGATACCTCCATTTTGCAATCCTATCCTATAATCACATCTCACATACTGAGAACCTATTATTATACTATGAGAACCCCTTAATCAAACTAGAGGTCCACAGGTAATATCCCTCAACCATATTTGAAGTTCATGCAAAATCCACAAATAAACAGGAAAAAAACAGTGACACTAATAATCTACTTTGTTATTATAGGATGAGAAACCCCTTAAAAGGCCTAGAGGGGGTGATCTTATCATGTATAAAAGTAACACTAATCAACAGGAACAAAACAGCAAAACTAACAATCTACTTTGAGTTTGGATGAGAAATCCCTTACAGTTCTACAGGGGGTGGTATCTGAAGTTCTGAACCATGTTTAGAAGTTCTATGTTTGCATAAACCATAACCTGCACCCAGTATATTCACAATTCATCGCAGTACACTTAAAAACAACATATGCATGTCATGGATCTAAAGCCCCAGAGACTGATGAATTCTGTTTTTTAATTGTATTTATGTCTTACACATACTATATAACTAATATCTGAAGGGCTATTAGTATCACAATATATGAAAAGACAGGCTGCACAGAAGCGTCCCAAAGGAAATAAAAAAGTATCACAGATGCAGGGAGCCAGGGATAAACAACAGATATTATCATACACAAATCCAGAAGAATTGTAAAGCATTATCAGTATTTTTTTAGTTTTGACTTGTATGCTGCAACTTTGGGTTTTGGAACTTCCAACAACATTTTGCTAAGAAACATCAACTAAATTTCTAAAACTATTCGCCTGCCTCAAATAAGTAAGAAAAAAACAATACTATTTATAACCCCTGGTTACACTAAATTAAACCCAGAAGGTAAATTGCTAAGTAAGTATAATTCATAATATTGACAAGAAAAGAAGGAAGAAGTCCTATTACTCCTATAAATCTTTCCCACAATCATATTCGGACAAATTACTGTTTCAGCAGTCCCTAAATATCTCCCTCCCTCCCTCCCCCTTCTCTCACTCCCTCTAAGCACATTCTTCACAAACCAGATGACTCTGTTCTGAGAAGCCTCGTCTGAATTAAAGAACCACGAAGTTATCCACCTTTATCTCCAGGTCCAAAGGTCAAGAAAGTTTCAAAATGGACATAACTTTTCAACAAGCAACTACTATTGCCAATTAAGATGCAAATGTAGGTATGCCCTGATTTCGCACAAACGCTAACTCTTCAAAAATGTCTCACTCGCAATAGCCTAACTCGGATATTTACCAGCTTAAAGTTAACCACTATCCTCTCACTT